TATTTTAAAATTTTTGTAACAAGTATTTTGGTTCATTTGAGGATATTTTTTAAATCTGAACTACTTATCTGTACGATATTTACTGTGCCATAAAGTTTATTTATCTGTAAGGTATAGTAAGATAAGAATTGATTCTAAAAATATGTTGAATTGTGATTTTTGCTCAGTACCGGTTGCTAATAATTACATACCTACATAATAAATAAAGTCATTAGCTTTTTATATATAATTTATTGATTATGACTTTGAAAATTACTTTGTTTCAGTTCACTGAAAATAAAGCACGTAATTTACATAAAGGCTTAGGTATTATTGTAACCATTTGTCTCGTTATTGTTAATTATGTTTTTATTATGTGGTGGAATTACTTGCTTCAAACAAGAGCTTCAGAAGGATTTTTTAAACCCAGGGGGCTCAGCTGAATCGTAAATAATTTGTGAATTTTGTTGAAATTATTTTGTAACTACAAAAATTTGGAATGTTGAGAATAAAATTCAGGGACAGAATTGTTAGACATTTTGTGATTTGATATTTTATATTAACATTCTTTGTTTCACAGTCCGTTCATATAATAAGTAATTCAGTTATTATGTCGTGTTGAGATATACCTATAACTTTTTTATTTTTATTCATTTCAACGCTTAAACTGTATCTACCTTTTGACTACAAATCAAGTGTCACTTACAGAAATTGTATATCTTAGTCTAGATTGTAAATATTACCTATCCATAAACTTTCTTAAGTCCGGTCATGCTTTGTCAGATAAAAAAAAAATCTGTACTGTAATACTAGCCTGTGATCAATAAAGAACTTTCTTTGGTGATAAAGCGCCTTCCTCATCTCTCGTTTGTTCGTTATACAATGAGAAAAATAAATTCGTTCGTCAAACGCCAACTCGAGGATGATTTTTATTGTTTCTGGCAATGAAAAACCAAGAAGAGTGGAAACATGATTGTGATGATATGTTAAATGTTGTATTTACGAACAAATGAAATACATAGTTTGACAAGTGAGGTTTGTATTTTATGTACACATAATAAAAAACAAAGTGTTTATAAAAGTCGAAGGAGAAGGAAAACATTTTATTCTACTAAAGTTTATCAAAAATACAGAGTGTAATGGTTCTAACAGGTTTTTTAATACTAATCATTTGGGTATCTGCTGCGTCGATTCTGGATTTTTTGTAATTATATTGTCAGTGTTCACTGGAATCCGTTTAAAGTGGATTTACATTCGAACAAACGAATTACATTGCCAGAACAATTAATAAAATTAACGTGAAATCAATTTCGCGCACTCAGCCGGCTAGTTCACTGAGACACAAAAAACGGAAAAGAAGTATAAAGTATTTCAGTCATTGAGATGAGATCAGAGAAGATATAAAATCGCTAATTTTTATATTATTGAAGATTACTCAGTTGTAAGAGTTTTATTGTGTTAAATTCAGACATTTTCAGTTTATGTTTATATACAATTTTTTATTCTTTCCATAGTTCACATTTATTTATTACATAATTGCCTCAATTATCTTCACTTTTTTTATAAATTTTGGTAAATTTTAGATAAGCGATAAAAAATATTTAAATCATTTTGAAATAAATCTATCAGAACATAAGTAGATTTTGCATTTATTTTTAAAAACAGAATGAGGACAATAAAAAAACGCTTTAGTATTGTTTATTAAAGTAAATATGTTATTATACTCATTTATTTCAATAAACCAACAACATTGCCGGAAACAACACGCTTTAAACTTTCTTGACCAATTTTTCTCAATTTTGCTTTGAGTAATTTTATAAGAAATAGGATATTATGTAGTGCTACGCATCTATTTTAGTACATTTAAGTAAACACCATTCATAAATAAGTTTGCCAACTGAAAACGTCGTAGTTTAACTGTTCCTTAGTTTCGAGGTTAAAATCTTGGACGCTATAGTTTAGTAAAATAGTAGGTATAATGCGTACATCGGTTTTTGAATATGATTAGTTCACGATATATTTCTGTTTCTTTTCTAGTTAGAATACAAAAATCATGACATTTAGCACTGAAACTTATGTTTATTTACGAGAAGTTATTTGAAAAATACATAAAAAGTAACATTTTTTAACTTTAATAAGTTGTGTAAAAGTTTACTGTTTAACATCTTGTATTATTTTTTAATAATAATAATAATAAATAATAATACATAATGGATCTTACTAATTCGATAATATATATCACATACAAAATGATGCGTGCTACCTGTGTGACTGTGTGTGAATGTATGCTTTAAGTTGCTCAGTAGTAAAGCAATTTATTTATACTTCTCTACAATTTAATTGTGATAAGATAAAATGAACCCTCATGTCAATATAATGTGGTTCAAGGTGATGTACTCACAGCGCAAAGTTATCTCTTATGCAAATACATGTACCAAATTTTTGTGATAAAAATGTTTGTGCTTTTTAAATTTGTTTTATGTGTTAATAATATGTACATTGGTTCAGTGTAAAATGGTGATCTCGGACAATTTTCTGTGACTATGGCTAAACATCAATCAGTTATAACAATTCTCTATAAATTAAAAGTATCAGGTAATTAATAGATAATACTTTCACAGACATATTTAGCACATAATTGTAAGATTGTACTTTTTCATTTTACTTTTAACTTGAATTAGCGGGTTTCAGTTTCATTGTTTGTTTTCAAATTATAAAATTTATAAAAGTAAAACTTTTTTTCATGAAGCAAATTTACATATACTTTGTTATAGTTTAGTAAATGCATGCCAACCGTGTGTTCAGTGACAAAAAGGACCCACGTTATTTTCGTCTTTTTAAACCATTTTTAAATAATTATAAAATAAAGTTTATCATTTGCACAAAGGGATATTCTTCTAATTTTGCTTCTGCAAGTGCATTACATCGACATCTTTTAGACATTATTTGTACAGTCTGGGAAATTTGAATAAACTTGTATTACTACAGTCTGTTGTACTACGAACTTTCAGTTTATGCAAATTTAAAGTTGTTTACAAAGTATTCATAATATTTCAGTATTTCGTTACAAGGAAATATATAAAAAGGAGTGCAGATAATCATTTGTTAATTTGATTTTGATTTTAAACAGTGAAGAAATTGAATCCAATTAAAATTGTAATTGAAAGTAAATAATACAGGATAGTTAATTGAGTAATTTAAATGTAATACTTATACCGTTGTTGGTAAAGGACTTTCAGATATTATATTGTGTACTATTACAATAGGTAGGTTTAATTCTCGTAATAAACGTCCATCTATGCGGAAATGCTAACGAAGTAAGTTTTGGAGAAGATCATATGCGAACAATTTTAGTTCAACTATCGATTGTTTGATACTGAAATGAAGTATATACTTGTTGCCATTACTTGGAAGCAAGTACATATTTGTCTTAAGCAAACTTAGTTGCACTGCTTTGCAAACACACTTCGATTCACAAACAATGCATTATGGGCTATAGATAGGTTCTGTTCATAAAATATATAGAATAAACATTAAAAAACAAAATATTTAGTGTAGAGCAAACTTTTATGGAAAAGCTATCTTATTTTAAGAGTGCATATATTTAGTGATATCCATTTCAAAGGAATGATGAAGCAACTTGAAAACTACATTCTGCACAAAAAAATAATTAATGCTAAACAGAATTGGCAAAATTGACAAAAAAGGTGTCGTTTTAATAACACTGTCATTTAAATTAGTTTTGATTAAAAAGTATAGTTCCAAGATATGCAAATATAAATGGCATTTTTCGTAAAACTTGCCGTTGATTGTTTTGTTAAATTAGTTCAGGGATGGGTAAATAATCAAACAATAGAATGGAATAGCATTTATATTATTTAGTGTTCAGTGGTGTGGGAAGCCACATTCCTGTGGAGTCAGTTATAGTTACAACTGTGAACAATATTAGTTATTACTGCTAAAAAATGAACATATTATTTTTTATACATGAATAGATCGATATATTTGAGAACTATATTCTAAGTTAACCGTCCATAAATTCACACGGCTTTGCATGATTAAATCGACATGCATCCGTTATCTTCGATTAACATTTTTTGTTTCTTGCTCATTTTTGATTACCAGTAGTAGTACTTTATGTCTCGCTTTAAAATACGAGCATATGTATAATGCCATCCACAGAAGTATTCCATAAAAGTCTCAAGTTTGACGTGAATCAGAAAAAAATTCAAAATAAGTACTTCAGCAAGTTCCCACTTCTAAATATTTTGCATTTTCTCGATGCATGGACATAATTGTATAAACAAATTGCACAAAAAACTTTATAATTTAGTTTCTCTTTACCGTTCATGATAAAATTTAATAAGAAATTTTATTTTATTTTATTTATTAAAAATCTTTTATTATCTCTAAATTCACAAATAATGTAACCACTTATATTCATAAGTAGATTTTTTCTATATCAACAGTGTTCTAGTAATTTCAGGTATTAGTTGGTACATTAGCCAACAATATTCTCCGGCCGAAAATTTCACATCCATTTATATACAATCAACATTCATAGCACCACTTTCAGAATTACCATGTAAAAGACATAAAAGGGGCAGTGTTTCAGTGCGTTCAATTAAAAAATTTGTTTGTTTTTGTCCAGTTTGAAGGCTTTGTTGGAACATTTATTAAATTTTGAATGAAGTGACTACAATATCATTTGGAACCGTATTCATTACACATTAGCCTATATTATTACAATAACTTATAAAGTTTATTAGTCAATTAAATTAGATAGGATTATTTGTATAAAGTTTTTTTTGAACTTTTAGTTGACGTTGAAAAATGGTGAAACAAGTTGCAATAATGAGAAAACTTTAATCTTACTTACCGTCCATTCTGAATGGTGGCAGACTGTTTTGCTATCTAGAAGATTTTGATTAAACGTAAATTGATTTTCCCTTTTTGCTCTATAACTTTGAAAGTAAAGTAATGCGAATTAAATTTATAAATTGGAAATCTTTTTTTTTCAGGTGACGGATCACAGTCTGATAACGAAACTTGCGGCGAAATTAATTCCGATCACGAAGAACAAGAAGAGAAGGAAAAGACTGACCAAAGCCAACAGACGACACCTACAACCCCTCCAAATGATCCCGGTGAGTTTACGATTTCATCTTCAGTCTATAATAGTAATAATCCAGGCTGCCGACGCTGAATTAATTAAACGTCAGCATCTTGACGCTTCGTAGAAATTAACAGTGAGTTAGTTCATCAGTGGGGAAAAAATAATTAATTATACAGCACATAACTGGCATTTTAGCTCAACTTAGGTAATGAAAATGATATTTTAATGTGATTTCGTAACTAGATGTTTCCAACATTAATGTTGTTGTTTAACGACTTTACAGACAGTCCAAATAGTCAACGCTACATCTTAGAGACCATAACTATGACAACCGTAACGGAACAGCGTATCCTTCGAGAAGTCGAAGACGAAAGGAAAACTCCAACTCTGAGCGTAGCTCCAGGTGGTTCTCCCATCAACGGCATCCTGAAAGGCGGCAAACTATGGAAGCAGCAAAGTGTCGAAATGAGCGTTAGCAAACCCCCTGAGCCTCAGCAGGTAAGAATGTTGAATTTTTCAAGTGCCGTCCCGAGTTAGCGTGTCTTTTTCCAGACGACTGAATCAAGCGTTGCCTCCGATGAAGAGGGTAGCAGTCGTCGGTCGGTTCGTTTCATAGAATCCGAGCAAAATAAACGTGACAGCTGTGATGGAGCCCCAGATAATTCGACCGATGAAAATACCAAGACGGAGAACAGTAATAGCCAACCTAAACAAAGCGAAAATTGTAACAGTTCCGTATCCCCCGAATCGACGGAAATGATGTTGACATTCAAACTGGGTAATCATGTGTTGATTTCCAACAATAGTCTGAAGCCGAATTCGGCTGTGCGGCAGCTTTTCCCTTGCACTAAACAGCTGAACGGTAAAGCGGAGGACGAATCTATACACCAGTATTTGGTAACTGCGGAGTCACTGCGAGCATTTGAAGAAGCCAAGCGTTCTAAACTACCACAAATCATTCAAAGCGGGGAAACTGATGAGTCTATTAAACGAGCTATTGAACGCAACACCCTCAGGCGTTCTCTTATACGCTACGAACCGAGGAGCAAGAAGAATGTGCAAAAGACTGACAACTCCCTTGTTGAAAGGATCAAACAATTAACTTGCGATGTGGACGATATTAATCAGACCGAGGAAATACCGTTTCGGGCGAGCCCGCCTGGAGAGGAGGCAAGGAACTCACCTGAAGTAAATCAGTCCATTTGTAAAAATTCGGACAAAAGCTTTTCACCGTCGTCCTCATCAACGGCTAGTTCGAATTCGTCATCGATGTCTTCCACTTATAAAAAAATCACGGACCTGTTTGGAAAACGAGAGAAAATGACTGACGCACAAACAAATATTCCGAACGAACCCAAGCTCACTCCTTTACCAGATTTAGGAAACGGAAGTTCCCACATCCACGAAGTTGCAGAGGCTAGTCATAATATAGTGTCTAAAACAAATTCTACGAACGAACCGAGAAAACAGTTTCTTTCGACGTTGGCACCGCTCACAGCGTGCGTCAGTAGTTTAGGAAATGCCGATGAGTATTATTATCAAATGAATAATCATGTTGGCGAAAGATCATCTGTCGCCAGTTCAGTAGGAACTGAATACAGTCTGGAAGACATTGATGAAGGACTGAAAAACCTGGATGAAGAGTCGAAGAAAATTGCGCCCGATGTTTTAGCTGGAACACCGTCTGCGTCTGAGTCTGGGGACGAATTAGCCATGTTTGTTCAACAGGATGCAAGTAGAATCGAGCGAATCAAGAAAAAGTATGTGTTTGTTTTTGTCGTTGTAAACCTATTTTGTTTCTTGTTTTGTAGATATCTCCCGGAGCAGCCAAACAGAGAAGACGATGATGATGAACATGATGATTATGGGTTTAACAGGAGACCCAGTGTCCGCGGAATTAAACCACGATTCGGGTCGACTACTGAAATTTTGCAGCAAATTCAAAATCAACTGCAACCTCCAGCTCCAACTGCCAGAGTCGCATGGCCTTATTATTCAGAAAGTGGTCTGACAGGTGTTGACAATTCCAAATCTAGAAATATAAATCAGAACATGCCAAATTATCAGTATCCTAATGTACCTGAAGAAGTGAAGACTCGGAACATACCGCCACAATATCGACCTACATCACTGCAAGACGAGAATATTTACCAAAATTGTACAAATCAAAGATGTGTGAGAGAAGTGTACAGAGCTAACGGTAATCAGACCTACTCTTCTTTTATGAAAGTCGGAAGTACTTGTACGGAATACTATCAGTCTTTACCTAGAACGCGTAATGGGAGACCACAATCGCCTCCACCTTTAGAATTATCTAAAAATTATCATCAAACAATGGTTTATATTCCATATAACCACATTGAGGGGTATCAACACAACCCCTACTATCAGTCGAATGACTACGTCAGGGTTTCAAATCAAAACCAAATCAATAAGAGATATATTGAACCTGTCTATCAACAGAGAATTCATTCATCTCATGTAGATGAGCATCATTATGCCTCTAATATGTTACCTCCTATACCTCTGAAACCTATCGTTCGGATCCCCTTATCTCAACAGCCTCACTTAATGACTTCCCGAAGTGAATCTCCTGTACCGGGCCAATTTTCCACAGCTCGATCAACGCAAACCCCTCTGGCGACAGCATCGACTTGTAGCTATTATGCGGCAAATCCTAGGTACAGACCAATGGTTGGTCCTGCCTGGCCGACCGATTGTAATTATGTGGCGAAAGTGAATAGGCATAGTTTTCCTGCAGCAGTTCCTCGATATCCTCCACCTGATAGTATCTCGTTGACAGACAGTGATAGTCAGCACAGTGGACAAATGCCAAACGGTTATCGGCAAAGTATGGACGTATCTTTTACTCAGAAGGATTCTCTTCCGAACTCCCCAACGAAACCCCGATTCCTCGAAAGAGGCGTACCTGAAGGTGCTGCGGCTAGTGCTCCTTCTTTAGATACAACAAATTCTCAGAGTTCAAGTAGTACCATGACTTCACCAACTTCTCCTCAGAATCCCCCCCATCCTAACCAAAAACCATTGTTTTATGCAATGAACGTTTGACCAGATGAATAGGTACATGTGAAAGTTAACATTTGTTTTTTCAATGCATCACCTAAATCTAAGGGAAACGTTTGCTGAGAAGGTAGTTTCAATGACGATGAGAAGTTAGTTAGCTTTTATTACGGAGGTGAGACAAAACTGCTTTAAATGAAAGCATTATCGACATAAAGAAGACTTTAAAATGTAGGTTATAATAACCGTAAAGGCAGAATATTTACAGTATTTCAAATTAAGTGTAGGCATGTTGTTTAAATGTCACAGTAACGAATCTTTAAGGTAATAATTGTAGCAAAATATTATCATGTAATCTATTATAATGAATCTAAGAAATTAATATACAAATAGTTTGTAATTGCATAATCGAACATTTTCGGAAATCGTATTAACGAATTTTTTCAGAATGTTATTGCTACAATTTTTAAAAATAGATTTGTTATGTTTCATTTAGATCGATTCAGTATTGAATAGAGTAACAACTAGAAAGTTGTTACGAGAAAATAGAAGTTGTATGTTTTTATTTAATGTTACATCAAATGTATAGATTAGTAGTCATTGTTGCCAAAAATGAGATTCCATTACCAAAGTATTATAGGTACCTAGATAAGTGTTATTGACCAAATAATTAATATATTTTAACTCATGCTTTCAAAAAGGCTCTTTGTCCAGTTTTTTAGTTAGACTTACTTACCTCAACAATGTGTGATTCAAAATTTGACAAAGTTGCTTTGAAGTACTTGAAAGTAATGTAGCTTTAATGTATTGATTAAAATATTTATTAAATTGTTTACTAAAATACTTTTGATAATAAGGAAATTATAATATTTATTTATTAATAAAAAAGTGAGATAAAAGTGTAAACGGTCTAATATAATTTTGTAATTTATTAGATATTCTATGTACAAAATGATCCTTTTAACTTAATATTGCTCATAAACAAGATATACACTGAGAGGTTGGAATTGGTTTTTGTAAAAATAAGAAAGTTAAAAAGAGTATATTATTTTGTTAATGTTTTTACGTTGTATTGATTTTCTAATATTTTATATCAGCATTGTTTCTAACGATTGTCATTATATTTGCCCATCATCTGACATGTGTATGAAACTATTAATAAATCTATTGTATACATGTTTTGTGTATCTATTTTACAAAGCCATAGTCGGCCCGTCCTCGCTACTTTAAAGCTCCTGTGCATAAAATATTGAAAGTTTAAAGGTAAAATACACCTGCGTGCAGAGTAACGGCTGAAGAGGAATCGTAAATTTGGTAACTAAGTCATCCTTTTGAAGCTGAATCGAATACGCATGAATACCGTACTGGGTTTTCAAAAAGTTAATATATTTAAACATTTCTTCAACGAAAATCGATTTTAGCATAATTATGAAGACGGCTGAAGCCATAAGCATATAGAATTTTCTTTAGTTAACAACATGGAAAATCAGGACCAGCAACATATTCAAAAATCATGAGTAAACAAGAACCTTTTTCTCGTTCTACATGGCGTTTTGATGCCGTATTTAGTAATTACAATATTTTAATAAAAATCACTTTTTTTTTCGAAACAAGTACCGAAAACCGCATTGATGGCGGGGATAATCAGCCAAATTTTCTCGTATATACAAAATTTGACAATAATCTACCCAGTTTCCAAAATTATCTGTCTAATAAAAATCGACACAGACACACAACAAACGACAGACAACTGCAACAGGTTACGTGCGACCGACGACTGATATACGGACAAACAGACGGAAAAGGAAGGCCACTTTTTTCGTATTTTAGGGGTAACGCACCGTCGAGAAAACATAGCAAGCCACCCGATGGACTCGATTACAATACTTCTTTCGTTTACGCTCAAAAGTAAAAGGAAAAAGTATATTATGCTATGGAGAAGCAAACTCAAAATGTCATTAACTTCATCCCAACTTGTTGGAGGTTTCTTGTTCTACAAAATCAAGTATGTATTTTTAATGTATATTTTCCTTGCATTACTGTGTGTTTTTTTAAACTGAACATACTGAACATATGTTCAGAGCTAAAAAAATATCCCCACACATAGTTTGCTCCTATTGATTTATTGTATTTTTTTATTAATATTTACTGGTACATCTTTTGTATTTAACGATTTTGTAAGCTTGGTAAGTTCTAACAAATAAATTTATCTTTATTAGATTTATCTTTATTTACTGATAACGGTTAAGCGGCAAGAATTTAATAATTTTATTATCGAAATCCTTCTTTTCACATACGGTTTCTTTTGCATATTAGTGATTTGAGATTAAATATTAAATTTGCACTAATTTAAAAACTATTTAAAAGGGACTTCCCTCTCCTTTGAAGCATAGCAAATTGCGTATATTTAATTTTATTTTTCGTAACGATAAACAATTTAATTTTAATTTTTAGTGCAGATAATGAAACGACGTAACTTTGTTGTAAGAATTTCGAAGGAATTAGATGCGTTATTTTTTAAATAGTAAAAAAAGCACTAGTGTATAATGCCGGAAATTGAAATCTGACCATTCACACAAACGCACCAACGTCAAGTCTGCAAAGGATATTTTGATTAGCGTTAATATGAAATTTAAGTATTACTAATAAAAAAAATCCCTTTGTCGGTTTTTAACACCTTTAAAATTTCTTTCTCCAGCTTTTAGTTTTTATTAAATCTCACATCATTAAACTCCACATAAGGAAATGTGTTGCAACACCAACTTCAAACGAGATTTTTTTTCAAAATTTTGCTATCAAATCATGGATTTTTTGATGGAAATGAATTGACAAATTTTAATTGGTGCAAAATATCTGTCTATAGTTTAAAATTCTGTTTTTATCTTACGTTCAGAAATTTGACGTAACTTAAGTCTTCGACTGCAGCTCGATATGCTGTGAAAGAAAACTCTGAAATTAAGTTCGCGCACTCTTCTATTACGTAGGTTAGCCAAAGCATAAAAATAAATAACTACTGACAAAATAGCATCCTCTGAAGCGATTATGAACAGTACTGTTAAGCTATTTATTCAATAAGTGGAACAACATATCTGTGGATCAAAAGTACACAAAATAAACATTTTATTGTAAAAAATTAGCACAAAAACATAAAAAAATATATATAATAAATTAATTATCACTGTTTAAAACATGTTTGTATTTCATTGCTGTTAGCATAAAGGATGTTTTCTATAATTGTCATATCCGTCCAACAAATGCGCAATGACAGCAAGGATGCCGAGAACCTGAAAAAATTAAAATCCGATGTAATAAATTGTGACACTTTTGATGACTAGTACGATATTTCACGGAACAAATCTTTCATTAAGTGGTTAAATTTTATTAATGATGATTGATAAAACTTTCGTTTCAAACGTATCGTTTTGAAGCAAACTGTTAACAATTAAAATTTATTTTTTGTGAAAATATCTGTTTATAAGAATATATGATCAGATTAAAATAAAATGTAATATAAAAAAATGTACTCACTCCTCCGCCAATTATCCTGGATACAACGTAAAATTTGTCCAAAACTAATGCTATGGCAATAATATAGTATATTGACAATATAACGTGATAAAAAAACTGAATTCTGTTCCAAGGTAGCTGTAACTTTTCTACTGCTTTGCTGGTATACAGTATCAACAGAATTGCTGAAATGATAATTGAAAGGGCAGCGGCAGATTCGAAAACGTCAAATACTGTTCCCCAAGTATTTATTCCAACCAATAACACAGCGATGAAACTTGCAACCTAAAAATTTAATTAATTTAAAAAATATTAAAAAATAGGTGTAGAGAAAAGTAAATAGATATTTATAAAGTTGTAGTCGACCAAATAACTTTGGATACAACTTTTGTGTTTTAACTTTTTTTAGCACCCCACGATCTGCATTTTCTTGTTGTAGTGAAAAAAACCAATGTCTTGAGGTTGGGAGAAATATTAAAAATTTAAATTACCTGATTTTTATATGATACGCTGCAATCTAAGCGACAATTTAAGCCTGTTCTTCTGTTTTTCGCATTTTATTTCTAAACATAATTGACAGTAATGATGTTGGCGTTAAAAAAAAATTAATAAATAATAATAGCAAAACTTTTATATGATAAGAAAGAAATCTAAAATATAAAGATGATATTCGCAATCATATCCGAAAAGGGGTTAGATATTATTTATTTTAATTATCACAACTTGGACAGCATAAGTTTTGTTAGCGATAACTATTAATCTTTTGATGTATGTTCTACATACCTAATATTTGTAAGATTACAAAAATCAGAAAAATAAGTAAAAAATGGGCATTACATTAGTAACTGGCGGATTTAGACACAAAGTGTTAGTGTTTCTATAATATTCAGTTGGGTACTTACCACTTCTACAATTTTACATACTCCTTGCAGTGTTGCAAGATAACCAGTTCCAATAACTTGTGTCTAGAAAGAAGCAGAATTATATAAATTAGAGCTTTCCATACGTCATGAAGCTTTAGACAACTACATAAGCCTATAATACTTTAATTATTTTGGCTCCTGTACCTATCGCGTAAAAATATTTATAGAGCAGATAATACAATTAATACAAGTTTAATACCTTTGACGGAAGGGTATAACAATTCAAGGTTACTTTAAAAAATATGTCACCTGAGTTTTTTTTTTAAGTTATTGTGTTATTTGTCCGATATTCTTTATTTATGTTGAAACTTGTTATGTTAATAATAATACTAGGTAAATTATATTCTTACTTAATTTTGAAAATCCACCACAACATGAATAAGTATTAAAATAGCTATTTATGTTACAAGTAAATAATGCATACCTTTATGGCCGAGCGAGCTTGCTCGCGAGGCTAATAAAGGGGCAAGTCCAATAAAAGGCACGATTTACGTGTGACATGTATAATTTTATGTTTGAATCAACACAAGAATTTTTTTTTGCAACTTTTTCACCTCCATTTTAAAATTGTTACTTAATAATGTTTAGTATGCGCTGCCGTTGTCATAGTCATATGAATTGTTTTGCAGTCCAAATTACTTTACAGTCGAATAAAGTGATAGATTATGGACAGTTGGCACCACTGAAGACAAAAACACTGTTTTTATTGTACTTGTACAATAATGAGGTAGATTATGGACTGTGAATAGTATCACAATTGAGATGGTTATGATTGAGTTGAACATAAATACCTATTAAAACTATAAGAAAAAATAATGTGTCTTTAAGGATTTTCTACATGGTTTCAAAAACTAAGACCTAAGTAAAATATGAAATTATCATGACAGACATTAAGCTAGCAAATTTGTTTAAGGAAATTACTTACAGGTTGTTCGGATGACATCTTTGCGGAGCACTTTGGATCTTCAAAAATAGTAAAATATATTTGCAGTTTATTTTATAGTTGTCATATACACATATAGGTTTTAGTTATCTTTATTATCGAGTGTGTGTCACAATCATAATACCCATAATCTTCATTATACTTTCCTGAGAATATGCGCATACACGCTATTGAAAGATAACATAACCAAATGTATGTTCTGTATGGACGCACCTGTTTTCCTGTTATTTGAATTATTATTAGTATTGTAAAAACGAATGAACAATTTATTACAGTTTTTATAACGAACAACAATAGATCATTCAGGTGGTCATGTGAATAACCGAAATTAGCAGTTAAAGCTGATTGAATTCGCAATATTCGACGGAAGGGAAATTTTCATTACTTCAAATTTGTGAAAAATTTTACATGCATGTGATACCTATTACTCATAAGGGAGACATTTCATTAAACACTACATTCGATGTTTATAATCGCAATACTTATATGCATTTTTTTTTAATATTATAAGCTTTTTGTACATACCAAACACTTTTTTATCTGAAAGCTGTAAAGAAGCGATGATTGTGTAAATTTTGTGTTTCTCAAAATTTATTATTAAAACTATTCATTATTAGCTTAACTTGGTCCAAAGTCAAACTAAGTACCTTCTTTGTACAAAAATTAATGGTTAGTTTATTTTTCTTATTGTTATAATTTCATGAATACAGTGAATGAATACTTTTAAATTTCGAGTCATTGAGTTAACTATGTTGTCTCGTAAATAAAGAACACAGAAAACTTTATAGAGCCGGGTCACGTTAAAAACAACATGTGAGTCATCCAAATCTGACGATTAGAAGCACAGGTCGTTTTCGGCTTAAAAGCAAAAACAAACTAATTCAACGCAAAATCTTGTGAAGGGATCCCCTATATACGGATAATGTTCCCTATACAAGCATATTTTCTGCACTGCCGCATAATTTTAAAGTCGAATTAATTGGCAACAAATGAACAAGTAAGAAGTTGTAGTAAAATTATGAGCATTTCTCAAAAATAGAATTTTTAGATTTGCTACATTTTCAAAACTACTTTCCAACATTGTTAATTTTATTAACAAAAAAAATGCTTCATTATCTTAAAAAACACATGGTTTTCTTGATCGCTTGTCTTTAAATTAAAACGTATGCCTTCTCTGAAATATCACGTCTAATACTGCTTTCTAAAATCACGCCATATAAAAGTTTTTAACAAAATTACTATTAATTGCGGTTAATTTTGTAAACCTAATATTTGAAATAGACACAGAAAAAACAATCTCGTTGCGACTTTAACAACTATCACATGAAACGTCCCTTCTAACTTTACTTTTCTTGTTTACTTGCTTTTTGTTGCTTCCTGGAGAAATAATCTCTACATTAACAGTTCTTTTACGAACATTATTTGCGACAGAACGTAAACGATGTATAGGATGAATTCCGGGAAGAATTTCCTAACAATTTTTGCAACGGATTACGACGATGTGCGATAAAGTTCTGAGAAACTTCGCCTTAAAAAAATAGGAAGTGACAGGTCCAAAGATAAGAGAACCCTAGAAAATATTAGAAATTTTATACAAGTAAAACAGGGCGGACACGTACAACATCCGTACGACATTTAGCGCAGCAAATGAAATTACTCAATGGGATTCGTCAAGTAATACTTAATAGAGCATCGAAAATCCATTCGCTCCCCTGCATCCTCAGGAAATTGGTGTTTGGACTGCAATTCGTCAACGACCGATAGTTCTTTGAACGTAATCATGGCAATAATAATCATGTAATTAACTGCTTTATTCACTGCTACATATCAGTAAGAAATTTTGCCAGATTTTATACGACAACTTCACGACGATCAAATGGAAGTGGGTTATTTTCAACACAGTGCTTTCGGCTAGGACCACAGTACCAATGTTATGGAATATTTTTGACAACGGGATCATTAGTCGAAATATAAAGAATATCTGGCTTCCGAGATTTTTAGGTCATAATCCTGTAGACTCTTTTTTGTACCCTACTGCAAACAGTGTTTATGTCCGATTGCTCTATAAACGTTATTTTATTTTATAATTTAGCGACCGTAATGTGGTACTTTATGGTACTAGTACAATAAAGAACTTTTTTTTACACTTATTTTTATTAAAGTTTTCATGAACACAATTAAACTTACAAACTAAAAATCTAGGCACGTTCGCAATGTTTAATATTTACAACATAACTACTACCAGAAAACATATACTGGATATTTTCCTTGTCGTATTTCACTGCTTTTGCTTCTATTACTGCTTATGCTTCTCCACAACTGAACATATCTTCAGCAACATCTTTTTCCGAAAGATTTTTACCTAGGATTTTTTCCGCAAAGTTAATTTTAGCAGTTTCACAGTCCGCTACAGTTGATGAACGCCAGCCCCCATGTCTTTTTATATCCTCCATGTTGGATCCGACAGTTGCTAAAATTGTGGCTGAACTTCGCCTGAAGCAATGGCCTGTATATGAAGAAGCATTTTCTAGACTCAAATATTTGGCCACCACAGTTGGCACATTACCAATCTTGTGAGTTCCGACGGCTTGCACAGTACACTTCTCTTTAACATAATTGATAAAAAATCTCTGATGTGGTGTTTTGATAGGTCGAAGTGCCATATAAGCTCGAACAAGTTCAACTAGTTTAATGTTTTCCATACTTCCAGGTACTATAACAAAATGACGATCTATTTTGGTTATCGTGTCTTGAAGGTTGACTAAAATGTGCCTTTTCCAATCTTTGACACATGTTCTCAATAATATGACTAATTCTTAACATCTGCATGCACCTGCCACACCAAATATGATGACAACCTGTAAAACCAATTATGCTTTTAGTACATTCAAACATAATTAATGTTTCCTACCTTGGTTAGTAAATGTATCTTACTGTCAGCTTCAATAAAAAATTCTTCGATTTGACTCTTCGTGAGTGTAAGGGATTTTTTAGGTGTATACCCTTCACCTTTCCGCTTCAGAAATACAATGACACATGGGAACTTACTGATGTCAACTCCTTCACGTAAATTTATGGTTGATCTTAGCATGGAATACTTGCTCCATGATGAACTTTTATACGAGGAAAGCTCTGTAGTGAAATACGCCAAAATACTCTCTTTCGACGTTGATTCGACGTTCTTTTTAGAGCACCATTTCCGATAAAGGTTGTAAGTTTCTTCGTATAAATTTCTTGATTTTGATGGTAGTAAAGACTCTTTAACACTCCTAGCAATCTCTGTTATCTCACTTTCCGTTTGGTTAGATGTACTTGCTTACATTTTTCAACTTTAAACGCAAACAGCACAAATCTAAATAATTTTCACTTGTGTAAACAGACAATGGGCTACTGTAGTAATAATGAAAAAGTAGACTAGATTTTCAGAAATTTATTTTGCGATTGGTTTTCCCTAATTTTTATTTTTTAAAGTTATAATAATTGTTGCAATCAGACATAAAGCCTTGTATGTAACGTATACATAAACCGGCTTTATTGACGCGCCTTTTTTATCGACTCGGTCACTACGCTCCCTCGTCTACTAAAATCGGCTTGTCCATAAAGACCTGCTGGTTTATGTAGTTGTTACATAAATAGCTATTATCGAACACCTATCAACAATTTGGAGGAATTAAGATTGAGAATAACAGACGAAATTAACGACATTAAAATTAATACATGTTGAGGCATGTGGTCGATGAAGTTAAAGGACGAGCTTATTTTTATGTTTACAACAAAGTGGGCAACATTTTCAACATTTTTACTTTTTCATTTATCAGTGTGGTTTAATCACCGACATAGATCTAAGTACAAAATCCTTTCCAAAGATGACTCGGTAGCAAGTAACAAGAAATGGTAATTACCTAAACACTGCAGTAAATACGGAAAGAATATCGTCTCACTGGCATTGTTATTCCTGACACATAGTTGAATATACACATATTAGAATATAATTTCAAATTACTTGTAGTTGAAGGTGAGGGCAAAATTTCAGTTTATCTATTATTTGTATCAACTCTAGGCATAGTACCAAATGTTTCGAAGAGAATCCAGTTTTTTTTTTACTTAAACGAATCATGACTGCGTTTATTACTTTAAAAGTAGTTATATTAGGTACATGTCATAACCTCCTTAAGTTTTTCGAACAGTCTGATCACGTTGATCAGGAGTTTGGTTCCAAACAGATAGATTACAGTATTGTATGTCAGTTACGAATTGATGCATTTCATTTGAACAATTAACACATATACCTACATAAACGTCGATACATTTTTCAGCAAAGGTATTTTGAAGAAACACACATTTCATCTTACGAGAACACATTTTTCGTATACAAAATTTACAAATATATTTTTCACAGTGTCTCTGTGTGCCGGGTACGGACGATGGAATAATTTATACACGTTTTCTGTATCTTTTTTATTTTTTATTTTTTTTAGACGACCCGATTAATTGATAATAATTTATCTAATAATTTGTTCTTAAAATCATACCTAAGTACTAAAAATAGTCTAAATATACTGATAACAGCGTCTTAAGCTTTTTTTTTATAATACATTTTCTTAATTTGCAAGTAAAGACCACTGATTATAACTACGTCCTAAATATTGTTTATTACGACACAATGACTAAGCTGCACGTCATTAGATAACATGTGCGGCTATGAACAATCGATTCTAAAAAGCGATAAATCATCCAGGTAAACTTCTATTATCAAATTTTTCATTCCTTTGGAATTCAAAATATCTTACGTCTTATTAGTCATCTGGCACCTATTTATTATGAAATTTTATTTAATCAGCAGTATAGTGAAACGTGAAATACAAAATAAAAAGTTCTTTATAAATGCTAAGTTGGGAAGTTAACCTTTGAATTTATTGTATATGTTGAAAACAATGTTCCATTTTATCCAACATACATATGAAAAGAAAAAATATATTTACCTACAACAACAGTAGAATTATTTAGGTGTAGCGATATATCAACGAAAATAATGAGTAAGTTTTGTTTTTTAAATGAAAATAAACAAAAGTATAAATATAACTAAACACTTTTATTTATACAGGATTAGTCACGAGAAAATTATTTCTGGAAATTATTTTTAAGCAACCCAAAATACTAATACCCCGTATCACTTGATACTATCTGAATTTAAAATGAAATGCTTAATCCATGATTGCTTTGACTTTGGCAGTGTCCATTTACTCCGCTCTGCAACCCCATTGGCAGTGCCGAAACCAAAGAATATTTAGGTATAGGCGAAACTTGCGTTAGGCGCCCCTCCTCTACACATGAAAATGCAATTTTACCGAACAGCTTTATTTATATTTTTTAATAAGTACGCAAAACAGATACTATGATAAAATTTAAAAAAAGAAAAAAAATCGAGATTATACATATAGGTATATAATATGTATAAATATTGTGTAAGTTCAAAATAAAATCAACATTATAAACCTGTCGCACCGGTTACATGTTTCTGAGTTTTCGTTCAAAATAAAAAAAGATGAATATGACATAACCCTTGGTATAGTTTTGGAAATTTTATTCTACCCTATTAAATTTTATTATCGATAACGAGACGGACAGTAGTACAATGGTAAGAAATATTTATGGCTTTCACCAGTTCACTCGAATTTGTCTGAGAACATTTGCCACGTAGTTGTACTCATAAAATAATGGTCATTTCTGTTCAAGAGTAACGATGGTCCCTGCCCGGACTTGGATTATTCTGGTTTCTAACATCTGGGGATTATCGGCACGCGACAACTTAAGTTGTAAATGTCTCCTGCTATTGTACTACTGTCCATCTCGTTATTGCCAATAAAATTTTATAGGGTACAATGAAATTTCCAAAACTATACAACATAATTTTTGGACGAATTTGGCGCCCCTTGTCGTTGGCGCCCCTAGGCAAGGGCCTACTCGGCCTATAGCTAGTTTCGGCACTGCCCACTGGATCGACGTACCTCTCTCAATCTGCGCTCTTCTGAAGCCTAAGTACTCTAGCAATATTTTTCCCCGCTAATAGGCATGTGTTAGTTCGCCATCTCTGCGTCAACTAGAGCCTCTTCGAGCACCCATTTACAAAAACGCCGTAGCATCCTCCCAACATGCCAACATTTTCAATAGTTGTTGCAATAGTTAAATGATTTAATTACTCTTTCAAGTTTACGTTGTATCCTTTGAATCAAATATCGTAGACGTAATTTTGAGAAATAGTTATCTCATAACTAGTCCGTATCATTGCAAAAGATCAAGAGGTACTCCAAGCAAGCCCTAACAAATTTATTAGCGGCGCCAGCGTAGTCTATCTCCGAGTGGCTACGGTATGACCATGGATACTCGCGTAACCTCCTTTCCGGAGTTGTCAAAATGACGCTGTCAAAAGTGCCAAAGTCAAAGCAATCATGGATTACGCCTTTCATTTAAAATTCAGTCAGTATCAAGTGGTACACGTTATTAGTATTTTGGGTTGCGTAAAAATAATTTTCAGAAATAATTTTCTCGTGACTAACCCTGTATACTTCGTCAAATGATTAATTATGTCAGTAAACATACGTGTTTATATAATTAATATATGTGTATTTGCCACATAATAGTATATAATGTAACAAGTTTCATCAACCTCTCTTTAGACTTTATTTATGTATAAGCGGAGCGAGTGTTTAAAAAACGACTGTCTAGGGAAGTTTATAAACGCGTTACATAATACGATTTTTCTACGACTTCAAATTAAAATCATAATAATTATCGGAATTCTGAAACTTAATACGTTACAAAACATGATATACTAACATGGTGAACATCATCAAATTTTTGTTAAACTGTTACTTTTATTTAATAATACATCAATAATGAAAAAATCAAACACATCATTAACACAATTTAGCTTTCAACGACTCTGGTGCTGGGCCACCCCCGATGTCAATTAAGGACAGTAAATATCACTAATATCAGACCCAGAATCTATCAGAATCATTTTGATTTGATCGGCAGCAAATTACTCGTTCCCCCCTCAGTCGCATCTGACAATTCAGGCGCAGTACAATGTTCCATTTTATCCAACATACATATTAAGTATTTTTGGTCTACGTTTACGTAAACCCGTGACGTAAACGTATAAATAAGTTCAAAATATGACACAAAATATATCATTAAATTTAAATACAAAAACAAGGAAAGCAATATCCGAAAAAAGAGTATAGCATCACAAAGAGAGAAATGTTTTATTCGCAAAGTTTTTGCAAAGTATTATAATTTATTGGTTTGAATTTATACTATAAACATTTGTTTATACTCCCGTTTGTAAAATGACATTTTACTTATCATTTTGACGGTTTAGGTTTTAAATACGGACATGAGTCGTGACTAAAATCACGTAAGTCGCAGGCTGAAATTAGCCATGTTGTTTTCAGTCAGGCACTTCTTTCAAATTGACATAACAATTCGTACATTTTGACGTTTTGATTTCTGTTGGATATGTTTTAAAGAGGAATATAGTACCGAGTGCGCAAAACAATTCTGATAGATTATGGGGCTGATATTTACTGCCCTTAAACGACATGAGACATGAGTAGTTGCAGGCTAAATTCTGTTAATGGTACGTTTAGTCTTTAAGAATAATTAATGATGAACTGTGTATTGTTAAGTAGAAGTAATAGTTTAACAAAACCTTTATGATGTTCACGATGTTAGTATTTCACTTTTTGTACTCGTAGTGTAATAAATTTCAGAGTTTTGATAACTATGATTTTAATTTAAAGTCGGAACTTCCCTAGATACTTATTTTTTAAACACTTGCTCCGCCCGTGACTAAAAAGGCGTTTATGAAACTTGTTACATATTATACTATTTACAGATGGGAGTAGAAAAAGAATTTAATTTATAATGTTTTTGTCCAATAATGAATGAACTCAATTTATCAATACAAGAAATGTAAATAACAACATCAGTGAGAAGATGAGATAGAAATTTCACCTTAATTCAATTTTAAGGGGAAAAATACACTTTTTTTTGTTTTATCGCTTTTTTATTAGGTAGTTAATTGTAATTAACTAATTAATTAACATATTCTATGAAAAAGAGCAGAAAAATAACAAATGTTTTTTGCTGATGCCTGACATGATATTGTTACGAAATAAACCCATACGCCGCCCCGGTACGACGTCTATAGTTTTCTCGGGGGCTTTCTAGTATGTACGGCGATGATGGAGCTTGGAAGCGAAAGTCGCGATGGCTACTCCCGAAAAGCCCCTACCACAATGTCTAGAAGGGAAGTCCGGGTTTAAATAGAGGCCACCTTCGGGAACGAGTCTCAGTCAACGAGTCGAGTCCAGTAAATGAGAGAATGAATCTAGTCAAATCCATTCCAGTCGTGTCAGAATTATTCTGTACATAATCGCTGTATAACGTGTAAATTAGTATAACTAGGAAATAAATTGTTGAGTTTTACCTAACCCGATTTTAAATCACCGATCAATGTAACAAAATATTTCGTTGTACTACGTAAAGTTGAAAGAGCTATCTAAAGAACTCGCAAAGAAATATAAGATTTGCTAGAAAAATCGATCTAATTATTCAAAAAATCTTACAATTAATGAGATCCGAGAAAAATAAACACTATGGAAAAAGGCTGATGAAAAATGTAAAGAAATGGGGGTTTATACATATACAGTACACACACAAAGTCAAAACAGATATAACATTTATTTTTAACAATTAGTCAAATTGCTATACATTGTCATATAATTTTTAATAAAGAACAAAATATATAAACAATACTTAATCAATATGAACACTATTTAAATCTCAACAATGTAGTCATTATTGTTTCTCAATGTTATCCAATACAAAATAGCACTGACGAATCATTTCTATAGCAGTCTACTGTGTCTACTAAATATAAAATGGCAGCAATTATCCCAAAGGACTGTAAAAAATTGTATAAGTTAAAAATTAATAAATATTTTTATTGCAAGAAAGTTATAGATAAGGAAATATTAACTTACCCCTCCAGCCATGTGTCTGTCGTTATAATGTTTGGACAATAATACTGCCGACACTATTAATAAGTAAATAAAAATAAGAATATTAAAATATAATTGAAAAGCTATAAATCCCTGTAAAGGTCTTCCCGCTTTTGTGACATGAAGAATTAAAATTAAAAATGATATAATCAATCCTACGGCTGTTCCAACGACGTAGGCGTTGGTTAAGTCTGATGACCATCCATCAATTGCTATTAAAATCAGGCCAATGAAGCATATGACCTAAAAATGAAATACATTATTACAATAACTATAGAAAATGTAACATCTATAAATAGTTGAAGAAAAGTGAAATTCTGACACTAAAACGCTTTGTGAATACCTGACCTAATACACATTTAAACTGAACAGTTCTAAACTGAAATTGTTTCCTTTTTTTTGCTATTTATAGGTACATGTCATTATCACTATTTGGAAATTATATTATGTTCCATGTAATTTTAATTAGTATTTAAACTAACACAACATATGTTTTTTTTATTGCCAGCACTTTCGTTTTTCTATGTATTATGTACAACTTTTTTTTTATTTTCATCTATTGCAGAAACTAAATGATATTTAGATCTTTTATATAAACAATGATAAAATAAATTAATTTACAACCAAAATATTACACAATTAACAAGTTAGTGTTGAATTGTGTACATACTGCAAACTTTATAATCATATATTAATTTTAGGGTAACATTAAAAACTAACCTATGAATAGCATTACGGAATTATGGAATTTTTGTTATTAAAATAAATTTTTACTGCGCACACACAACCGCCAAATTGCTGGTAACAAATATATTTGAATACAATTTCATATTTTTTGTGAAATAAAAAAGATACATGTTTCGATACCTACGAAAATTTGTTTATATTTATTTAGAAATGTATTTTACCTATTCATAAGCAAAACTCATCGTAATTCGAAACCAAAAACTATAAAATATTTTTTAGTACTTACAGATTCACAGATTTTGATTATTCCCTGTGTTGTCTTAATGTGACCTGTTCCATAAGTAACTGTCTAAAAAAATGTTCAGTTAGACACCATTTAATGAAGGCATAAAGATATTACCGTCATTTTCTTCCGTTATGAACGTACATATACACCTCACTTTACTGTTGGTTCGTTATCACATTTTCGTCACCTTGATTATCTTATCAGACTGTATTTCGTTTCCCTAGAAAATACAAACCGGGTAATTTAAACATAAGCGTGTACTGTTACGCTTCCGATGTACTTAGATCACTTACAAGCACTATAAACAAACATGTTTTTACATTTTTTTACAACGGTGGTGGTACACATGTGTTCCAATTAAGTAACTATTTAACTCTAGTGACGACATAGTGTTTACTGCTGGCTCCAGGCCAGCTTTCAGTATATGGCAGACTAATATATTTAAAGATTTTATTATACGGTTCTAATATTTTTAGTTCATCACAGAACCTTAGAAAGTTCTGACTATTAGTACAAATTTGAAAGAAGTTTTAAAAAACACGGAACGTCCATGTTTTAAAATGACTTAGTAAAAATACCAAGATTAAAAATTATTATGTGAAATACCATAAATGTGAATCATACAAAGGCTATTCATTTCTAATTAAAATGACTCTTGAAAGTTGTTCTGCTTAATTTCTTGTTATCAATAGCCGGTGGTGTGTAGTACTATTAAACTTGGATTAAATTTACAATAGTAAAACAACTGAATTTTTTTTATTACTTTTAAGTTATTTCACAAAAAGATGTTTTCTTCGTAATGTATATTTCAAATGAAGTTAATTATAAACAGTTATCAATCATATACTTATAAAATCACCTGTCAACCCGCTTTGTGGTATCGATATTATTGTGTGTGTAAACTACTCATAGAGCAAATGCCTACATCTACAAATCCAGCACTCATCTTGATCTTAAATTATGCATTGTCAATGTTCATTGCATATATAAAGAAAACTACAATTTAACATCAACATCGTATTTGAAATTTGGTAGTAAGTTCGAATTTCATGTTTATGGGATAGATACTAGTCCAGGTCAACCGATTCATTACCTTTACTAAGGAAAGGTTCAACAAGAATTTAAAATCATTAAAGATGTAGCCAGATGTACTCGTGGCTATTTTGAAATAGGATTATTAGATAAATTAATCGATAAGTTGAAATTTAAAAAAATGGTTGCTGAGTCATCGAATTTTCAAACAGAGAATGATCACATAATAAACGTAAACTGTTTCAAATTTGTTATGTCAATAATTGTAAATTTCTAGGCATTCGTGAAAGTCTAGAAATAATAACATGAATTCAGACTGCGGGTCCATTCCAAACTCGTCCTTCTGCGCCCTGTGGAGTCAGGGAGAGAGGACAGTGGGAGGAGTAGGATAAATAACGCAAATGTGGTTGGCGAAACTCGTCAACAATTTGTATAAATTATTGTGTATTTTCGGTATTATAGGTAATAAACGTTATCCTGTTAGAGTGCACCGAGAAAACGAAGAAGATTTTTGGTTAAAATTTTTCTATAGTAATTTTTTATTTTATTTCTAAATGTCGAATTAAAAATTAGATTTTGCGTAATTCCCAATGTAATTTTCCATAACTTTAAGGTTGTTTCTTAAAACAACCTAACAAAGTAACAGTAATACAGAATATCCACAATATCTGTTGACAGTGCGGCACACACCTATTTTATATTGTTCGATTTTCGTTCAATAATTTCGAAAAATAAACATGAACACCAACTGCAAGCAATATTCATAAAAGACATAAATTAATAATTGTTATCTAATTATTAGGAGCTTGTGGGACCACAAAAATAAGTCAGTAATAAAATTTTGCCATAAAATTGCAAATACAATTTTTTTTCACATTGAATTAATTCACAAAATAGAGATTAAATTTAGCGATAGTGAATAAGCTGTAGAGTAAATTCTGGTTGTTAATGACGGTTCATTAATTTTGTGTATGTACAGAAGAGTAACGTGAAAAGCATCAATATCTGCCCTACCATGCGAACAGATATCATGTAAATTATGATATAAATTTAGACCAAGAACTTGTTTCGTTTTTATTAACCTCACACGCGAAAACAGGGGTGTTCTATTTGCGACCCCTTTGTCTCTGTGTGTCTGTCAGTAGCACTGTGTAGCTTCCAAACGGATGAACCGATTTCAGTGAGGTTTGTTTTTGCTTGAAAGCTGATTTAATTGGGATGGATCTTAGCTATAGTTTGATGTTAATCACTTTACCCATTTTCAACTTTGAAGCCTTCTTTGTCTGTGTATTTGTCTATTTTATACGTTTTTTGTTTTTTTTATTTGAAAGCTGGTTTATTTGGGAAGGTTCTTACGAGGGTGGTTTGATGAAAAACTTGACTGGCATAATCTTCGAGAATATACAACTTCAAGGAGGCTTCCCCTAGATGATGTTTCTATACGTCAAATCATTCTGTTTTCGTTTAAGTATTATCTAAGTAGTGCCAGTGAGTATAGATCTTAAATACATAGTCACTGACTCTAGACTTCAAAAGAGGGGTGTTAGAACTTTAAGACCTTTGTATGTCTGTGTAGTTCCCAAACGGGTGAACTGATTTCACTGAGGTTTTTTTGTGTTTGAAAGCTGGTTTAATGGGCACGGTCTTTTTGAACAATTCATAGACTCATACAACGACAAACAATATCAATTACTTAAAGAGTGAATGTGTTAACGTCTACTCAGCTGTGGTGGTTTAAAGAAAGATTGTTTCAACTTTGGAGTTTTTACGAGCAAGCTTTCCTTTGATATAAATTTATAAGAACGGCAGTTTATGTTGTTTCTAAAATTAAATTCACATACCGGGAGACTATTAATGAGTGAAGCAATTTTTGGGTTGGCAATTCTGAATTATTGGCAGCAATGCATGTCAGCATGTCAGTTCGCATACAATTATTTTCACATGAGCACGCCTAAAAATCAATGAGAAGAAGGCAGCTTCTGAATTGGTGCCCAAAATTTGAATTTGACATCAGGTGTGCCATTTAAATACGTTGCTAACCTTACAAAAACAATCACAAACGGTAATAGTCAGTCGGTACTAAGCGAGAAGCTTTCGTTCTTTTATTTTCCGATTTTTTTGTTTCAAATGATTAGCTGGGACAAAAAAGTGTAAATGATAACTAAAACACAACCTTTTCTCTTTAAAACAAGCTTATTTTATTGATACATACAAAAAAATACATTAAGAAATTGTTGAACAAAAATAAATAAAAAAATAAATAATAAACGAATAATTTTAATGATTTATATGTTTCTTCCTGTGATAATGGCCAACAATTAAGATTAATTATTATTAACAGCTGCTCCTTGAAAATTTTATAAAACAATAAGCGTACTTAAAGTTGACAAATTGTTAAGATATCTACACGAAAATGGTCGACGTATAAATAATGTAGAGTTCTAAACACAGGTAAAAAATCATTAGGTAATTCGTTTTACCAGCTTATGCATTTAAATGTTAAATTGTAACTAACTCATGTCACATTATTGTCCACATTTTATAACTTGTTTAGGTACATAAACGGGTAGAACAGGCGCTCAGTTTAGCACACAATACAAAGCCTACAATAGAGACCACAGTAAAGTGAATTTTAAATCAACAAATATTTCTTAAATTGAATATTAGTTAAGGTCTGGCATGTTAGGCGTGGTCCAGGCGTACTTTGGAACCGGCGTAACTGCGATTTGATACTTCTGAAACGTATCAAAAAAGTAAACCATCGACGCAAGGTACCCAATCACCTGCAACAAAATTCACTAAAAACTGGGTATTTAGTATCAGTTCTCATAAACAGTACACTAACATCGTTGAAATAAATATCCAAAAACTTCATTTAGACCCAATGAATCACATAAAAGTTGTGATAAATATATATTTTTGTGATCTCATTTTTTAAGAATTCAACGAATGGTGTTATTATTTTGGTTTTTTTAATAGAAACTTACCCCCGCGATAATATATCCTCTTGTCCAAACAGTCATTATTACTGACGCAAAAATCGCTAGAAGTAAAGCAACAATCAAAACCGATACGCATTCGAACCAGTGCCACGCTAATTTCGATCTTCGTATGGTACCTTTCATGTGCAAAATCATAAAAACTGCTGTCTGAATGGCTGCTACAAATGTTACTCCGCAAAGTAAATTGGCGTGTAATGAGAAACCCATAAATGCCAAAAAGATGATGATTGTTATATTCAGTGCCTAAAACAGTGTTGAGTAATTACTATTCTCTATCTACATGATGAAATCATACCTCTTCAAGTATATTGAGACCACCTGGGTAACTCCATAAATAGGGTAAGCCTGTTGGTATCGGTTTTTGCTAAAATGTTGCACATTTATTTTAAAACTTCTATTTATATTAATATATATAATAATACGTACATCATTTGATTCCATTTTTGTTATTTGACGACAGGTTTACTTAATCACCGATATAATACATCAATATTATTTTATCTTATCTTATCTCTACATCATATGAAACAATATAGATGTCAGTATGGACCGCGCCTGCATGAGTCAGTTTTCAAAAGCTCTAATCAAACATCGACTTTATTTATAGATTTATGCAGAGTGTTTTTGAAATACACTATCAAAATAGATCAGGTAATTGGTGATGATAAATAAAACCAATTGACAAAAAATACTTTCTATAAAAGTTTTTTGGTTTTCGAGATAAAATTAATCGAATATTCGGTTAAAATTTCCAGTGCGCCATTGTATTAAAGGTAGTTCAAAATGCAATCCTGTTCACTTAGCAACAATACAAATTTTATTTGTCAGGGTACTATTGTCAATTTTGTGTCACTTGTACTAAAATGGTTTACACAAATGCTGAATTAACTGATATGTTCCTACTGTATGGAAGGGCCCTTGGAAACGCTCGTGAAGCACAACGTCTTTATAGGGAACCATTTCCTAGAGGAGATTTTTTTGAAGGAAATTTAAACTTTTTAAAGAAAATTTTACCTGAACTGTTGGAAAACGTAGAGCTAGACGTAAGAAGAATAATTTGGTATTAAAATGATGGCGCTCCCGCTCATTACACAGTCGAACAATTTTAGAAAAAATTATTGTTACAAGCATTCTGAAATGTTATTTTGTGCTGAATAACTATCTAATAAGACATTATGCCTACGTCGTCAAAAAAAATTTTTTTTGGAGATTGTTCATAGATAGTTCCAGTTAAATGTGTACTATTGCATAATGGGAATAAATATCTAGTACTGCCGACTGCACACTCCATATAAACTGCAGAAACATATGAGAATATTCAAGACTTGTTAAACTGTATTAAGGAAAAAAAGTTTGAGTGCAATTTGATAGACGATTTAAAAATTGTAGCTTTAGTATCTGGCTTCCAATCTGGATATAACAAGCATATGTGCTTCTTATGCAAGTGAAAAACAAGAGAGAAAGCATTTCAACATCTGCAAACAATATTTCCTAAGCTTTCTGCTGCTAACACAAACCAAGGTAAAAACTAAAATATTACAGTGAATTTCAGTTTTCATATTATGTACGTTTTCTACATATAGGAATTTTTATTGGGCCTGAAATTCGAATGAAGGATCAAATGTTCTACGCCTATTTGAATGATACGGAAAAATTTACTTGAGAATCAATTAACTTAGTGATCAGTGAATTTTTAGGAAACAAACGTTCCACAAATTATGTTTCATTTAAATTTCTTTGCTGATAATCTTTTCATCGAGAAATCAAGAAAGTCGAAGAAAGATTTAAGAGAAAGACCCAAGTATCCATTCTTTCCGAATACATGAGGCTTTTATAAAAACCTAGATCCTTCTACATATTCTAGGTAGGTTAAATATTCGTAGACATAATTAAATATCTGTCGACAGAAATCTGTGGAACATTTTTTTAGTGCTTCTTGTGCGTTTTTCTATGTAAAATTAGAATTCACTTCATTTTTCTAATTGTTCACCGGACGATAATAAAAATTTGAATAACTTTTTTTTTGACGACATGGGTGTATTGTCTTTTTTAAGAGTTGTTCAGCACAAATTTACCTTTCCGACCATGTTTAGAAAATATATGTAACAAAAACACTGTTCCACTGTGTTATTAGAGAGACGTTAGGAACTATTTACACAGAGCGTTTGGACCAAGACTTACTGCTAGAGAAGAAGAGTACGCTTGGCTTGCACGGAGCCCTGATCTAACGCGTTTAGATTTTTTTCTGTGGGGGAAGGTGAAAATGACGTTTATAATGTCCCAATCGAAAATGAAAACCACTGAAAGGATAATAGCGTCATCCAGATCTATAACTCCCGACATGTTAGATAGAATTCGTAGAAATTTTGAACGTAGGAGAGGGCTTTGTGAAGATAGTGGAGGCAGACATTTTGGACATTTATTATAAATTTGTTTTCGTTATAACCTCATCCATTAATAAATTGAATATTAATTTTTTCAATTTTGTCATTATTTGGCATTGACATCTTTGTAATTTCTTTTCTGTGATTGCTATGATTGCTTATTTTAAAAAAAATTAAATAGCACGAAGTCGTCTCTGGGGTGTATAATATGTTGCCTATGCAAAAATTATCAGGCGTGAACAGATAAAATGAACACCCTGTATATATGTTACAGCTAATATGCGAAATACGTTATTATGCATAATAACTAGACACTTTAGGAATTATGCGTAATAACTAAACCTGTCAGTTATTATGCATAATAACCGGAAAGATTAGGAATTATGCGTAATAACTGAAACTTTCAGTAAATGGGTTTTAAATTGTATAAAATAACATAGTCCTACACATGTAGTTTACGACTCCGAATTGAGTTTTTACCGGAAACGTCCGGATTTTTGGAAAAAAAATCAAAATTATAAAGCAACATTTTGCGATTAAATTTTAAATCTGCAAAACCGAATGCTTTGAAATCTTGCAGGTGGTTTACAGTTATGATAAGCATGGTAAATTTTTAGTCAAAATATATTTACTTGTCCCCTCCAAAAAATTGATGACGTCAGCTCAAAAGTTTGCCAAATAAATCCTATCTAAAATGTACAAACTATGAAGAGTCTGTACTTGTGATTTATCATTCCATTCATATTTTTTTGATTTGCCTATATAGGGTGACTCAAAAAATTAATGAATGTGTGAATTTATTTTATTGATTTAATCAGGAACTACAAAACAGAATACCTTGAAATCTTGAAGATATTTTAAAGTTATCATACGCATTGTAAATTTTTAGTCAAAATGTATTTGCTCCTCCCCCCTAAAAAATTTATGACGTCACCTGAAAATTTTGCTGAATAAATCCTATTTCAAATGTGCAAAATATGATGAGTCTGTATTTGTGATTTATCATTCCATTCATATTTTTTGGATTTGCATATACTAAACCGATTATTTTGAAATTTTGGAGATGTTTTAAATTTATCATAAGTATGGTAAGATTTTTAATCAACATATATTTGCTTTCTAAAATTGATGATGTCACCTTAAAATTTTACCGAACAAATCCTATCCTAAAGGTGTAAAGAATGATGAATCTATACTTGTGATTTATCACTGCATTAATATTTTTTAGATTTGCTTATACGGGGTGTCTCAGTCAATTAATTTTATGGATTAAATCAAGAATTACAAAACTGAATACTTTGAAATACTACATACTTGGCAAATTATTAATCAAAATAAATCTGTTTAATTCCCCCACAAAATTGATGACGTTATCTCAAAATTTTGCCGAATAAATTCTACCCAAAATTATGTCGATTGTAGCTTACTAGATAATTGTTTTCATCCTCTGTTTTGAGGGGACGAACTATGAAGAAACATTCAAATCAAACTAATTTCTACGTGACATTTTTTCGATGCATGAACATAAACACTTTCAAGTTGTTTTTCTTATCAAGGATAACCTAAGGACGTCCAGTAATGGAGTCCATTGGGCAATTTGTTACTTTCAAATTTTTTCGACATTTCATAACCCCTAGACAAGGTCGTAGCTAGGGGGAGGTTAGGGGATGCTCCCCTAAATCTAGACAAGTTATAATTAACCAAATGTGAATTATAGCATCCAAAAACCGAATAAAATGTAGTGTTTTATTCAATAAACGGAAATCAGAGCAATAAAAAAGTCTGGTCCGTCGGCATTGTCATCCGGTTATTCCAATTCGTCGAAAACATGTTTTAGTTTAGTTTATGTTTCACCGTCACGTCTACAGTTTGATAAGTGTTATGGCTATTTGTCTTAAATTACAAGTACTATACAGGATGTTCCTTTTATCTGTTCAGCCTGACAATTTTTGCATAGGCGACATATTATACACCCCAGAGACAACATCGTTTTTAATAAGCAATCATAGGAATCACAAAAAAAATGACAAAGATGTCAATGGCAAATAATGATAAAATTGAAAAAATTAATACTTCCCCAATTTTTATTTTAAAATGTCCCGCTACCAAAATGTAATACGAAAAAAACATACCAGGCATGCAGTCGTCACGTTTCCGACAGCGAGGGAAGTACTGTCTAAACTCTTTAGACCAATTTTTTTTTTAAATCAACCGTACATGTGATATGTAGAGGAAAGCGAGGCAGGGTGGGTAGCTTTTTTGAAAATATTATGCACAATTCCTGTTCCTCTATTAGTTATTTCAGTATTACCTAAACATTTACGTTATTATGCATAATAACTGAAAATTTCAGTTATTACGCATAATTCCTAATCTTTCCGGTTATTATGCATAATAACTGACAAGTTTAGTTATTACGCATAATTCCTAAAATATCTAGTTATTATGCATAATAACGGATTTCGGATATTAGCTGTAACATATATATTTCTGACGACTTGCCTAGTTTTACAAGGACTTGTCCTTTATTTTCTGAATGTATTTATAACCAGTCCCCCAACCAGAATTTAAATATGTAAATGTTCATATCAGAAACAACAAATTTATTAAAAAACACAAGTCCTTCTTTCTTAGGAATCCCAGAGGTTAGCAAGAATCAAACAGTTATATAATACTTAAAAAATATATTTACACCATACATCAGACGAAATAGTCTATTTAAACCAAATATCGGATACTGATTAGTAACAATAATATAATATATTGTTATATATGTATACATATAAACTAAAGTAATTAAGTACTTTTAAACCCTCTTCAGTAAAGAAAGACGAACACCATTATCTGATTTAAGTACTGTTTCCGCAACAAGCTTTAGTGGATGATGAGGAGTTGCAGGGCACAACTTGAAGTTTCGAATGACTTTAGAAAGAGTACTTTTCATTTCCAACATTGCAAATTTTTGCCCTAAAAACCAAAACACATATTAGTATGAGGGCAATAAGTCTTTGTAAATGAAGCATATTATCTAATAATAATTGTATAGCCAGTGAAAGGCAGTTATAAAAAGCATTTCAGTTTTAACTATATTTATACATACCTATGCAATTTCGTGGACCTGCACTAAACGGCACATAGGCATACGGCAATTTTCCATCAATAGTGTCAAATCTATCAGGGTTAAATTTTTCCGGATCAGGAAAATATTTTGGATCCCTGTGAATGCCATACGCAAAAACGGTAATGTTAACACCTTTAGGTATTATAACTCCATCTAAAATATAAGTATTAATTTAAACTTAGATTACAGTTTGGTGTATTTAATTACCCATATCCACTTCTTGGTTAGTTTCTCTAGCGTAAAATGGTACTGATGGATACAATCTTAATGCTTCTTTAATAACAAGTTCCAAATATTTCATCTCCTGTAAATTTTTATATGTAACTGTCGGATTTTTCTCCTCGCCAAAAATTGATAATTGTTCTTCATATACTTTCTCCTAAAACAAAATGCCAATTTTGTTTAAATATGAATTAACGAATTCAGTTATCTAATGATTACCTGCACTTCAGGATTATTTGCCAAAGAATATAATGCAAAACTAATTCCTGACGCTGTTGTATCGTGGCCCTAAAAATATAACAAATTAACACTATCCACAGTTCATAGTAAATGTAGGCCTACTACCTCAAACATAAAGGTGTCTACTTCTTCTCTGATTTCTTCATTCGTTAAAGGTCTATCGTCCACTCTTGCCTGCAAAAGTAGATCTAGAAACGCCATTTTTTTCTTAATTCCTATATCAGCAGGATTCTCCATTTCTTTGGAGGAATATTCCTTAAGCAGTTCTTGTCTTCGTTTTCTGATTACATTATTTGTGTACTTGTGCAGAATATTTAGTGCTTTACGTTGAAGTTGAAAATCTTTAGTAAATCGGAACAAGAATTCGTTATTTTTTTGTGGCGCCAGAGCTCTTTCAATGATTATTCTGCCCATTTCCTTGACACTTTTAACATATTCTGATTCTTCATTACTTTGAGCATTAATCGTTGTACCCATTGCCGTTTCTGGAAATTATTATAGATGTTTAATTTTTTTTGAGAAGTTAATTTTAATTTTCCTCCAATTTTTATCAACAAAAATGTAAAATAAAGGCAAAAATTAAATTCAAGAAAAATACCTTGTAAATTGGTTGTACAATAAAATAATTTTGTGTCCTTCAAACAATATTTTATGATCATTGGCCTTTGGAAAAATAGTAGATATTTTTGTTGAAACATAATCAGTATATTTATAAAATTAGGACTAAATGAGAGACATAAATAATTGTAGTATTATCGTTATCTGAATTCGTATGGACGAAGCAATAGTTTATTTAATAAACGCAATAAAATTAGTAAAAATTTTCTCTGAATTTTTTTTCGGTTTACTGATGATGTTTTAAATAAAACTTCAATTATCGCAAAACAACGAATAATTAGTATCTTTTACAAACATATTTAACTCATTTGTCATCTGGTTTTGAATGAATTTTCCATTAATTGTCGTGTCAAGTAACTACAGCATTGTCATTACATATCAGGACACCATTTTAAAACATAAAACAATGAACATATACCTACATGAGTTTTTTTATAACATTTCAAAACGACTGAAACTGATGAAATACAACTACTTTTAATATTTTCGCCATACATTTATTATGTCAAAATTAGAAAATCTGTTAAGCTATTAAAATAAATTTTCACTAAAAAGAATAAACTAAAACTTACCGCATATAATATCCAAAGCACACAGCGTAACAAAAGGGTAAATGTCAACGGTAGGTTCTCCTACGTGCTTTTTCAATTTTTCAACCATAACGTCGGTCGCAGTGTCAAATGAATTGATAAATTGCTCCAGAATCTTAAAGTGAAATGTAGGTGTAATAATTCTTCGGTGTTTTTTCCACTTCATTCCTGGAAGATGAAGTTTCTTAGAATAAACAGTCCAAAATCATTAGTCAGGATTTATACCTTCGCTGGTGAGCAGACCCGTCCCAAGCCAGGGTAACATCGTTTTATAGGTATGCGATTTGTTAATAATTTTAGTAGAACTTAGTACAAATTCTATAAATTTATAATCAGAAATTAATAACAATTTTCGAAAAGGTCCAATCTGAATTTTTACTACTCCTCCATAATTGTTGGTATAGTTGAGAAAAGCAGTTAGAACACCTGAATTATGTGATAATAATTAGCATACATGACTGAATTAATAAATAAATGTACATACCTTTTGTTTTTGATTTAAAATCAAGAGCGTTTCCTAATAATGGTATTCCTGGAGGTCCAGGAATATTTTTGAAAAATTTGCTAACATTGTATTGTTTAAAAAAAACATACCACCAACTTAAGACTACTAATACAATAAAAGCAGAAAAGAAATCTAATAAAAAGTTCATATTGAATAGAACACTGGGACGTAAGTCGTATATTAGTTGCAATACACCACGGAATGATCTTTTATAGTCTCCGGGGAATCCGTGTTTTTGACGTCGTCAGTGATTTCCTAATAAAACGAACAAAGTCCATTTAGTGCAAAAACAATAACTGATGCCTATCAGATTAGTGTGGAAGAACACAAATTTATAAACAAAATTTAAGCGGAAATTTATTTGGCAATTGTTGTCTGCGTATTTATTTTTTCATTTCTTTTATTTTTGAAAAATGTAATGAGAATGTATTATACAAGAAGAGAAAATGTATAGAAACTCCCTGATGAATTAAAATAAATATAGAATTTGTGACATTAGTCCTATTTGTGTTCTACGTGTATGACTGATGTAGATTTAGAGATGTATGACAGCCCCAAGCGAAAAGAATAGATGCCAAATTTAGTTAAAATTTTACATCAGAAGAGTTTTTTCGGTCGCGGCTGTATGTTAAAAACATTATTATTTTTAAGTGGTAAAAATTTATTGCCAATTTTCCTTTGAGATTTCAAAAATATACTTCATAAACTTTCAAGCAAAATAGCAGTAACTGTCTATTTATCGTCATTTACTCCTCAATTAGTCTATGGTGTGTAATTTTAATCCAGAACTTGTAGTAAGATTATTTTTGTCGTTTAGAGGAGAGAAGGGAAATTTTAACCACTTGCACAAAAATTACCGTTTATGTTTATAAATCCAAAATAAAACTAATCAGAAATGGCCGTGAGACTAATTGTTTAAGTGTTACCACTGCGTCAGATCTGTCCACGGAAAAATGTAGAGACTGGCGCCCCCGAAAGGCCAAGTGGACCATTTGTTACGAATTTTATTTTGGAAAATTCTCGGTTTCCACCTGATAGTATCACCAGTATTGGTGTTTCATTAATCATTAATTCATTACATGATGAATACGTCCGCGTTAATAAAATCATTTCAAGAATTATTAATCAAATTCTTGTCGACTTTTAGTTGTATGATGTATTCGGTATTAAATATATTCTAGACTAGTCAATGAAAGTTCGGTCCCAATAAAATTTAAGCTGCTTAATACTGAGCTTTGTATAAAGATTAACACTTTTTGTTTTATTTAAATATTTTTTACTCAGAATCTGTTAGATAAGTTATGCTTCTCGTTTGTTCTTTACTATAATTACTGTCATCGCATTTATCCGTTATTAGCGGTATTATAAATAACAACCACAACAACGTACACATCTTGTCATCTCTTTTTACGAGTTATTTTTACATGTCCAGGGATTTATTCATTATATTCATCGACGTCCAACGGACACACCTCCGTTCTAAGCGTATCAGAAAACAGTTTACAGTTTGTTAGACTTTATACGTGAAAGGGTTATCTTAATAGGTCATGGATGTTTTGTCTGATGCAACAATAATATATCTCATGTGATTCATTAACATAGGAGATAATTAGAGAGAAACTCCAAACACTTCTAGAACTTTGGACTTAAGACCCAGCATTCGTATCAGTTTCAAGAAATTAAACTGTAATCACGTCAGACTTGTTTTTGTCTTAATAAAGATTAGATTTTTTTCTTTTATCAATGTCCTCAAAAATCAAAGGGGAAGCAGCACACTTGTTATTACATTTCAACGATATTTTGAAAACAAACTCTTCCATTGAATTCTTTTTGTACAAATAAGATAAGCATCAACATCATAAGCACAGTTGCCATTTGGTAAACATTTTTATGTATTTTACAGGGATTTCAACAAAGTTTTAAACTATTTATAAGAGCTAGCTTATTAGAAGAACACTGACAGATAAATATCGTAACACTGAGTAGTAACATTAAATAAATAAATACCAACAACGTAACTTTTTCTTCTTTGATCATATTCACCAGAAGCTATTTTGACTATGTACACATCTAAATTGTCAATATTATTATTAATACTAAATACGTAACTATTCTACCATGAAAAGATGTCTTTAGGTAATGATGAAATAGAAATAAGTGTATTTCAATAAATAAATCTCAATGAAAGCTACTTTAGTATTATTAAAGCGAAAATGTGAGAGTTATCTGATTTTAAGTTAAGTTTAATTATAAATAATTACCAAAATTATTAATTATATTTTGACGTAAAATAGCTATGTCACTCTACATATTTTTGTTAATATATATCGGGCGGGCAGCATAATTTCTAATTAAGTTATCCTTGGAAAGGATTTAGCATGTCGGCTACTAAACCACACTGATAAATGTCAAAAAGTGACAAATGTGAAAGAAAATATGTCCTGAAATTTTTTAGTAAGATTTTGAATAAAATAAGTGTGAAGTTACAAGGAAAACTAGTACAAGTTAATTAATTTTATTAAATAAATTAAATTAAATTAGAGTAAATGCTGAAAATATTGTCCATTTTGTTGTAAGCATTAATGAGCTCTTCGTTTTAACTTCATCAATCACATGCCTCAACATCTCTGCGTTGTTGTTTATGTCGCTAGTTATTATTGTTATATTGTTATTTTCAACCTTAATTCCTCTAAATTATTATCAAGTGTGTCGATAAATTGTATTAAATTATATAATTACATATATTAAATAGGACCACAAAAAATCTGCAGGAGTAAGATCACAAGATCTCGGGGACCAGATAACCTCTGTGCTTCAACTGTTAGTCCAGTTGTCAAAAAATTCCTATAACCTTGGTGTTGTGATATTAGTTGAATGTGCTGTAGCCTCGTCTTGTCGAAAGTAACATATGTTCACTTCATCCTCGTGAAGTTTTTAAATAAAATTTGCTAAAATTGTTTGCTGATATCAGCAGCAATTAAGTCAGTTAATTACATGATTATTTTTGTCATGATTATCTTCAAAGAATATACTCTCTCCTACTAACTAACTGCAGCTCAAACACCCTGATGAAGGGTAGTCTCAACATAAACATGATATTTTCGGCGCTCCATATATTCTCATATTTTGAGAAATAATATAGGCACTCAAACGAAACGAGACTTAGTCTGTAGGAAAGGTCTTTATATACTTTTATATGCTTTACTTTTTTTTCCGTAATTTCGGCATCTACAGTAAAAGCAAAAATCCAAATGTGTTTTAGTTGCATCGTCAGTAGGTAAGTTTTATTAGATGCTTAGATAAAAAATCTTAGAAACTTCTTACTTCAAATTTATCACTTTCAAAAACCTGATGACATAAGCTTAAAATACCAAGAGTAAATGTGACTCTTAATTCACTGCATTAGGTATAGGTAGGTACTTGTTGTGTTCCAATTGAATTAATTTTTATTAAGTTTTAAATAAATAGAAAAATCTCAACAGGTGTAAAGTCAAATGGAGAACGAAAGAGGCCAAGGGCGTGGCTTATAATGCGTGGCTGTTAGACCACAGTGGCGTAACGATTGTAACATCAGAGGGTTACGTAGTTACAGTAAATATTATGTATTTTCAAAAAATCATTGTGAATTTCAAGGAATAAAGAAAATCTAAAATATATAATAACTTTCTTAAAATTATTACTATTATTTATTAACTGTGACACAAATAATATATTGTGGATTTGGGTGCACGTCACTGCAAAAACGTTCTCTCCTTCGTTTTGCACCAAACTCTAATTTTTGTAAGTCTAAATAATTTCTATTTTTGCAGGAGACAGACATAATTTTGATAGGCTTATTTCCTAACATAGCGTTTTTCGCTCCAGGAAATTTAATTCTAAAGCGAGTTTCACCGTACATCGAATAAGACACCAACAAGGTCACCTTGCCATTATTTAGATTTAAAACAAAGGTATTATTAGCCTGTTGAAACTAAATTGTTTTCCTTATCACGTGACAATGTTACACTGCACACCACGCACAGTTCAACACCATTCACCTCTTCAAACCTTAGAATCCTTAGACACTTAGGCTGAAGCTGTAATTTGGACTAGTATATAAATATATAGACTCTTTAATTAATAACCGCAACTCAAAACGAAAAATGCAGTCCTTCATCGAATCACAAATAATATTTTTGCACAGTTAATTGGGTTTTTCTCTACAACATTACACTCAAGTATTTATCTCTAAATATTTAATTTTATTTTATTTAAAAGTAGTGAACGAACATTACGTAGTTTGATTTTATATTTTCATTTTATTATTCGATTTCACTTTGCACATTATCACTCTGAGTAAAAGTTTCAACATTATTTTCCTTCTTTGTATTTTACATTTGGATAACAAGTAAAATTGGCAACATCTATTTGTCTAGGGATCCAAAGCTGCTCTACAACACGTATTTAGAAATAAAGACCGTTATTGAGCTACACTGCAAATAATATTTTATTTTATAGAGATTTTGAACAAAGAGTTATTAAACTACGTCTTGTTACTGTGGAAATCTCATTGTTCATTCTGCCTGAAACAAATAAAATAATATAAGTAATCTTGTTATAAAAAATTAAAACTTTTTAAAATTGCAGATTATTTTTTTCTAATTCCAATAAAAGTGACTTTAAATTTACTGACACCTATAAAGTTTTATTGAACATATGCTGAAAAAATGAGTTTTAAATAATTAGAAAATGCTGGTTACCAAATGCCGGACTAATGTAGGTAACCTTCAAGTCGCTCATAGCATCGCGTACTCGCTGAATATTAGTGAGGGTTAGGTTACAGTTTAAGTAACTAATTAAAGTATAGTCACAGGCGCCGCTGGATTTGTGTGAATTTGAAAGAAAACTAACCTCATCTTTTTGCACATAATACTAAGCTACCTGAAGGGTAAGCATTCCGACGGGAGGTTCAAGTTCACCATTGCAATGGCAACTTGTCCCTTTGCTCGTATTTAATATTTAGGACACATAAAATCTAATTAAATTTTTGTGTGATTTTACAAGGGATTATTTTTGTTGTTAATTAATTAATAATAATAAAAAAATTAAAATAAATAAATTAAGGCACAGCCTTAATTTCGTCCGCTATACTGATATAAAACTAATAACATACCTGATAATAATCCTGTTCTGCTAAAATTTTTGATGTCCTGTTGCTAATTCCTCTGACAGGAGGTTCTAGATCATGTACAAGCTTGTAAACATCCGATCGGTGAAGATAATCCAAATTTTTTGGCGGTGGTTGATATTTTAAAAAATTGATACTGAAAAGAAAACACACTTTCATGTCATAAGCATTACAAACATCATACAAGGAAAATATCATGTATTCCATTAGATGAACCATTCATACAAAATTATTTCCCAGCAGGCGACTTACCTTTAAATTATTCACCTCCCTTGGAGTGGTACAACTACTTAAATTCGACGGTAAAAAGTAAAACTATTTAAAACATGCCCTAATAACAAATGTGCACAACATTAACATTGCAAGCCTCTTAATTTCATTTTTTTTATAGAATATACGAGTAGGTTTAGGTACATTATCGATGAATGCAAACATGTACATGAATGTGAATGTTGTGTAATTTCGTCTTTGCAACCGAACAATACCTGTAAATGGTCTTTTTTTTATCGGACCAAGGCCATATTTGATTCCATTGTTTAACCTGAAAGTAACACACATTCAGTACCAAAAATTAATATATCTGCCTACCCTTTCGTTTTTCCAACGATTACTTCCGAATAAGTTTCTATTGTATTTGCAATTTTTTCGTCAGACATTTTTGTATGTCTTGCAACTGGACATGCATCGTCAGGTTGGGACCATCTTCGACCTCCAGGCAAAATTATTGGACGTTCAATTGGTTTTAAAGGTAACGTTGGCTTTTGTTTCAAACGACGTTGCTTGAACTCTTCAATTAGTTCTCGTTCCTATTAAAATCATCGTTTTTAAGCCTCAACAAATTATGAACTTTTTGTCCTATCGAAATATGAATCATCTACTGTCTAAGAATTTGTATAGGTTAACTAATATCAAGTCACATTGTATTTTTATTACAAGTGGTAAAAATATTTACTTAACATGTAGATGGAAATTTATTTAAATCAATGAATGCACTAATCATGTTTAATAAATTTTTACTAGACTTTGTGCAATATATACCTTTTCTTGTTTTTCTAATAATTCTTGTTCCTGTCTGATAGCCTCCTGTTGTTCCTCAGTGAGTTCTTGTTCCTTCTTAGAGTCCTCCTCCATTACATTTTCTTCTTCCACGTCTAAAGTTTCTTGTGTTTCTGATTTCTCATCAAATGGTAGCTCTACATCTTCAATTCTTTCTTCACTCTGGTGTACTTCTTTTTCTGCATCACGTTCTTCTTCTAAGTATACACTGTCTTAGATTAATTGTTTTATCGAAATTAAAAAACGTAAAGAATCTATTGACAACAATAATACTAAATTTGAAATAGAAGTGATGCAAGGTTGCTGTACTTCAGTAAAAAGTTAAAACGATTTTAGTTACAAATAGAAAACATTTAAAACTTAAATTACATTGCTGAAAAAAGATAGTGTGTAATTATCTATAAAACAACTTACAAGCTTCGTTCTTTTACTTTTAGATGCCTTAAGTAAAAAATAATTTTAAAAATAGCATAACTGTGTCAATAAAATATATTTAAAAAATATATCAAGGTAACATTTAATTATGTCGCGATTAAGCCACAGCAAATATACGGCTCTGTGCATTTTTAAACGAAAACCAACCCAAAACAGTAAATTTTTCCAAAATATGACATTTAAAAAAAGTTACAAACTCAACTCATCAACGCTACTAGTGTAGTAGGTTGTACAACATTAGTTGTGCAATAGTTGTATAACCTACCAAACCTGGAAAAAGTCGTGCTTTCGTTTTTTTACTGACTTGAGTCTTGTGAGACAAATTTAACTGAATTCGACTATAAGCTTTCTCTGTTAAAATATGCTTATACCTTCTGTGACTGTTTGTTCTGCCACATCATCCTCTGATTCAGAATTATTATCAGACAATTCTTTTTCTTCATTTTTTGCAGCTTCGGTTGGGGTAATTTTAACAATACTAGCTAGTTGTTTGTTAAGTGAATCTATTGTGGACTGAATAGTCGATGGTAATTTTGACAACTCTTCCAATTGTTTTTGAACTTCTGTTAATTTTTCCTCTAAAAATCTCTCTAATACATCTAAAATTAAATGTTACGATACATAAAAGGGACAAAATAACATCTGCAGTCATACCATCTTTCTCAATCTGTGTTTCGTTTAGTGCTAGTTGTGGGTCTACAATGAAACTCAAATCAGATCAAACATAAAAAAAAACGATTTAAGTTAAAGCACCTTGTTCCTCGACATTGTTCTCTTCGCTAGACTGTGTCTCTGATTTTTCAATATCTTCTTGACCTTCTGCTTCGCTTTCTTCTTTTATTTCTTCATCAGTAAGGACGGTTTCCTCGATTTGAGTGTTATCCGGAGTTTTTGAGTTATCTTGATTAATATCTCCATTTTCTTCATCTTCGCTGATGTGTTCGCTCGATTTAACATTTTGTAGAGGTGTTTTATTTTTCCTCTGAGAATTAAATTCATTTATTTAAATTATAGAAAAATAAGCTGAACAGATGATAATTAATTACTTACCTCTTCTAAAGTTTTTTTCTTCTGCTTTATTATTACAACTCTGTAGGGCTCTACCTAAAATATTTTTATCAATAAGAAATGGAACACACATAAATTATAGATTACTTTAGGATGTTCTTCATTTTTCTTTGGACTAGGTTTTGGATTTGTTGGTTTTTGTAAAAACGATGACCATTTCCGCTCATTTGTACTGAAACCATTTTGATGAACTACATTTTTCAGTGATATATCCTTTTGTCTAAAATTATTTTGGTTAAATTGATCAGAACACAGCGAAATTGAAACCTTACCCTTCCGACAACATAGGAGACTTTTCCTCAAAATATTTTTCAGCTTAAATAAAAATTATTTCATGTATTTATTATTTACAAAATAAGAAAGAAACAACAGAAATTTACAGAAGTTTCTTATGTTACTTAAATAAATTTTCATAGGGTATACCAGTGGAGCTAAAATCTCATTATTGGAGAAAACAAAACAACTGCTAGTGTTGTATTTTCCTGAAACTTCAGAAGCTGTATGATTAAATTTAAGGTTTCTATTATTTTCATTATTTTATGAATAATAATGAAAGAATTATTTTTAGAGAAAGTCTAAGCTATATGTATTTGTCTAGCTGAGCATATATTATTAGAGTCGGTCATTTATTAATTACCTTCATTAGTTTTTGGATACCATTCTTAACATGAGAGTTTAATACTATTATTTTTATACAAATAACCTCAAAAAACATTATACTAAGAACGATAACAATAACAATATATTATTCAAAAGTTGATAGTCACTATTTAATATTAGGTCGATTTTAAAACACATATAACATGCAGTAAACACTCTGTAAAATGAATATAATTTTTAATTCTATCTAAATTTCATTGCTCGTGTTATAAATTGCAGTTAATATTAAATTTCTTAATCTGTTGCTGTCAACCCGTCACAATTCGGTTTCGCTTTTAGAAAATTGTAATCTTTTGGTTTCCAGTTATTGAACCAGAAACTGTTCAAACTGTGGTTGTTTCATGGTAAAAAGATGTTGTGTATCTAATCATATTTGATATCCATTCTGATGACCAAAAATACAAGCTAACCTGTTTCAAAAAAACACAAGTAATTATCCAATAACAACTTGCAACCTTGATAGATAGGTTCTGTAGAGGTGTTGCTTTGTATTTTTACATTATTATATTTTCAAAAAACAAGTAACAGAAAATTACCTGTGGGATCAATTATTTCGAAATGTACTTGACGTTCGTGTTCAAAGTTTTCATCATTATCAAGATATGGTTGCATTATATTACTGACTTCTTCATTGGTGTCATCGTCCTTTCAAAATTCCAAATTTTATTAAACGGATCCACCCAGAGATTATGAATTAGATGTACTTACATATGTCAGAGGAGAAATTAAATCAGTTTCATCCCTAAAAATGTTAACGTATTTTTTTTATAATTCACCAAAACAAATTTACCTTCTAATAACCAGCTTCAAACTATTCCCTGCTGTTAGTAGTAAATTGTGGGTTTCATTGTGAGTCAGCTCGATGGTAGAAATTCCATTTACATTTACTATAACATCGTTAATTTTTAAGCCGCCTTTATCAGCTATACTACCATCTGCGACCTACGAAAAAAAAATGTCTATAATTTGCCTTCACACAACCAAAAAAAAAAAATACATGAAGAACAACAAAAGGTACATCGTACTCAGCCCCACCAGTAAGTCGAAATCCCCACACTTCGTTGTCTGATTTTAAAAAATTTAATTCTATATCCATTTGAAGAGCACATTGAAATTTTTTCACATCACACGAAGCTACTGCGGCACCTCCGACACTTTCTAGACCACACTATTGTTAATTTAGGACTGGTTTAATGTCACATTACTATCAATACCTTTAGCGCAAATAACACTCGAGTGCCAACAATTCATTACGTTAGTTTTACAACCTGATATCTTAACTACTTTATTAATTAAGTTATCGGTGAAGGTGAATTAAAATGTTACAGTTATTATAACTCTTCTTCCATTTTCAACTTATTTAGAACAGTAAAGCTTTAGTAACGTTCTAAAAGTAATTCGTAGTGATTCTTTTTTATTTAAGTATTCGCTACGTAACAACAAAAATTTAGACAAAAATAGTTTATATCAAGTTTTCAATAATTCGTTTCACAGAAATGTTGTTTTACAAACCAAAAATGCTAAACTGAAGTTAATTAATACAACAATCTAAAAGGTTTCTTTGTAATATTTTATTTTAAATTCACTATTTTGTACTTCAGAATTTCGCGGACAAACAATTATAATTTTATTTCTGTTTTGTGTGGTGTTTCTGTTATTTTTGAATAGAATAGGGAAAGTTACTTAATGATGTATTAGACTTTCTAACCATTTCCTAAACACTAAGACAAATTTTAATTTGAAACAAAACTTAATATGCAATAGTAAAAAAAATAAATTGGCCCCCGTCCAATTAAAGTCTATTTTTAATTATTATTTCCTAAAATAATAAGCAATTTAATCTTGAGTTTTATTTAATTAAACTTCATAAGAGTCTGAGGACAAAAAAAATCCGAATAATTTTTGTTCAATTGGTCAAGTGGAAACTGAACAGATCTTTTCAGAGCTTTATTTACACATTTGCGTATTTTCTCAAAAATGACATTCCCATTGACGTAAAAAGCGTTTATAATTGAGTCGTAGGTATATATTTCGCCTCTACAAAGAAAGAAGAGAAGTGGCGAGTCGAAAAATAAGAGAACTCCAGAAAATATTGGAAATGTTAGACAGGTAATGAAGCAGATCCCTATAACATCCATGCGACATTTAGTGCATCAAATGAAATTGTTATAATGTGTAACTTGCTGGGCAATATTGGGAAAAGATTTAGTTTTACGCCCTTATTGAATATGACGTGTGCAAGAATTAGATCAAACCGATTTTCCAGCCAGTTAATTATTATTGTCAATGGTTTTTGGACACATTTGATGACTGGATGTTGGGGAAAAACTTTTTTACAGCCGCAGCCTGGTTTCATTTTCAAAATATGAGAATATGGAGCACCGAAAATGTTTATGTTGTAGACTCCTCTTGATCCTCACACAACCTAATCACTGTTGCATATTAGCAAGAAATTTTGGCAAATTTTATACCACAATTTCACGACGATGAAATGGAGGAAGTAGATTATTTTCAGCAAAACATTACAGTACATTTTGCTAGCACTGTTACGGGAATTTTTTAATAGCCGGATCGTTAATCAAAATGTACAAAATATATGGCCCCCGATCTTGTGATCTTGCCTACTCCTGCAGACTCTTTTTTGCGACCCTATTTAAAGAACACTATTTCTCAAATACTTTTTTGAAATTAACATAATAGATTCATGCAGATATGATATCCTTACAACAAAATAGGGAATAATTTCAGCATTTACTGCAATTTAATCTTAACCATTTAGTAAAATAAATTAACCTTGCACCAATACTGCCTGAAACTTCACACTTATTTTATTGAAAATTTTACTAGAAAGTGTTCGCCATTTTTACTTTTACATTTGTCATTGCTTGACATTTATGAGTCTGGTTTGATCACCGACATCCTAAATCCTTCCCAAGGACGACTCGATGACAAATTATGTTACTCGCCCGATATAATATAACATAATTTAAAGCGAGTCCCTACCTTTTTACTTTCAAAACACTTTTAAAATATTCTACATTATTCACAGACTTATTCCTATGAAACTTTAAATACAAGTTGTCCACAACTTTCTCTGTATAATAGTTTTTTTAAAAACATTATATACAAATGATAATTTTTTTATAAAAATTTCGGAACACTGTTTTGACCACTTTTTTCAGCTTACAAAGCTCTGTATGTTACGTGGAAAACATTGTCGATTTCTTTTATTGAAAATGAGATACGGCAGAAACAGCTTCTTCGAAACAAGCTTTTTTTTAGTGTATTCATTTCCGACAAAAAACTGGTCGAAGGTTGTTTCGATAGAACTTCCCTCACCCCTGATGATAAAATTTGATTTTACGATTTTTACTTTTTTTTATGAGGACTGAAATAATGTTAAAGTAAATGTATGTATAGAAGCGTACTACGCGTATGTTTCAAATTAGTTTTTCCATTTAGAAAATTTTATGGGGACGTCATCAACATTTTTGCAAGGATATCAACTTGGATTGATGTAGTGTTATACTAATAACAGTATTCCCAAATTTTCGGGAAAATGGAATGAGCAGTTCTAGTCACTAAAATAAATTGACTTTAAACAAACATAAAAAGAATGAACAAAGGATAAATCACAAGAAAATGTTCATCATATTTTGAGATTACGTCATCACTTTTTGGGGAGAATAAACAGATTTACTTTGATTAAAAATATGCTTACAAAAACTTCAAAACCTCTGCAAGCGGTAAGATTTCAAAGTATTCGATTTTACAGTTCCTGATTTATTCAATAAAATAAATCGACTCATTCATTAATTTTTTTGAGCCACCTGTATAAACAAATCTAAAAAATATGAATGCATTGATAAATCACAAGTAAACACTCATCATATTTTGTACATTTTAGGTGAAATTTATTCGGCAAAATTTTGAGATGACGTCATCAATTTTCTGGGGGATAAACAGATACATTTTGATTAAAATTTTACCATACTTACAATAACTTCAAAACGTCTGTAAGATTTCGAAGCATTCGATTTTCAGTTCCTGATTTTAATCAATAAAATAAATTGACTCGTTCATTAATTTTCCTGAGTCACCCTATATAAGAAATATTTTATACATTTTAAGTAGGATTTATACGGGAAAATTTTAAAGTGCCGTCCTCAATTTTTTGGGGGGACAAGCAAATATATTTTGATTAAAAATTTATCATTCTTATGATCACTTTAAAACCGCTGCAAAATTTGAAACATTTTTTGCAGATTAAAAATTAAATTACAAAAAGTTGTTAGGTATATAATTTAGATTTTTTTTCCAAAAATTTGCACGTTTCGGGTAAAAACTCAACATGGCGTCATAAACTGCATGTGTAGGACTATGTTATTTTATACAATTTAAAACCCATTTACTATGTACAATTTTTAGGTGACGTCATCACATTGTTGGTGGATATAAAGTCAAATTTCTTCACACGAAAACTTACTAAAAAAAACTAAGAACGGATAAGGAAAATAATGTGTATGCATGACTTTTACAGTTTAATCAAAGACATGACAAATATTTATATGGCCAGCTGTAATCTGAAAACTTTTTGATCACCCGTTATTTATCTCCACGCTTATTAAGCTTATGATGTCGTCTATAAAAGATATTAAATAATTCTTTACTGAAAAATCTAAAATGCGCCTATGCGCCTGTGCACCTGTGTCTTACTCATATGCGTTTGGATTTCAGAAATGCTCATTTAAAATAAGGTATATAAAAGAAATGTACGAACCGAAGTATTTTATCGACAACACAGAAACTGCTATTATTCCTCTTGTGTTTTACATATCTAAATTCATAGATTTACCGTCACCAACAATTTTGTAGCATGTTATTATAATTAAAGTTATAAATATCTTGTACCGAAAAATATAGTCTAAGAAGAATTGCACGCGAGGGAAATTATGCTACGTAACAAAGCAATTTTGTCGACTTTTTTATTTTACTGTTCAAATTCACACCTATTCCTAACGTAATACGACAAGATGTATCCCACACACAAGCGAATTTCGATACCAAATGATCTACCAAAGTAGACCCAGTTCGTTTTGAAATAATTTCATATTTAATTTTTGAGTACTTGAGAATGAATTTCAGACAAAAATCGAATATCTTATGACAGCGTTGTCACCTAGCTAGATTATGTGTAAAAAACCCAAAATAATAATCGTGGCCAGATTTTTTTTAATAAATTAACATTCAAAGTACTAAAAATTATACAGCCTTAATAAATTATTTACATCTAGTGGACTATAAAACTCATTTATTAATGTGCCGCTTCATTTGACTTTTTGCTAAATTAATTATTAGTGTGTCAATTAGTTGTCAAATTTTGAAACAAATTTTAGCGTTTATTTCTTTATAACAAAGGATACGGAAAAATAGAGTCTTGAAAAAGATAAATATTTTATGATCAAAGCCTATTTTCCCTCTAGCGAAGAAAATGATATAGAATAAGGGCAATACTCAATTTCTGTCGCGAAAAAACTGTATTTTTCGGGAGCGGCAAATTTTTTGGTCAAGTCGTGTTCAAGACTTTTTAGACGTAAATCATTTATTAACGTCTGGTAGTATATTAAAAATTACACTTTGTTTGACTCGTCGTGCCCTATAGGTACCACTCGCACTGTGTACAGTAATATACTTTTTAAAATTTTTAAACAATTTAACTGCAAAAGATTAAAACATTATCTCATTTCGCTCCAAATGGCTGTAACTGCATCTGTAAGCTATCAGCCCTATCAGCTCTCAATCTACATCCTAAGACTTTTAGTACATATGTTGTGTACTGTGGTACCGTATGCATGTATATACATATTTGTACACTCTTTTCAAATTATGCAACCAGAAATATGGGATCGCCATTTTTTACTCAAATCAAAACAACATTTACAAAGTTCTGAATGTGTACGTTGTCCAAAACATTTTCCATTTTTGACATGAATATAATTTAAATGTTATTTTGTCTCTATTATGTAATTTCTGACAAAATGTAAAATGGATTGTACAAAATTCATTTTTTAGAGCAATTTTATCATAAAACAAGTAAAGCAACACATTATGGTACGTATTTTATCATCTTCATATTATGTTAAAGACGCCTATAACTTCATATTAATCAGCAAGGTAACTACTAGCTCAAAAACGAAAATCCTGCGTTTTTATCATACAAACTGTAAAGCTTTAAGAACACAAGGCTGTGTCGAAGTTAGTTTGTTAAAAGCACTGCTTGTTTATTAAATTGTTTATACCTCCAATATATTCCTAACAGAACTTAGTTTTATTGTTTATACAAAATGTATAAGAAATATTATTATTTATTTATTTGTGTATTAGATATACAATTTATAATAAAATACCGACAGTCATTATACAAAAAGAAGAAATGTGTTCAATAAATAAAAATAAATACATTGCGTCCGCATTGCGCCGCTTAAAATTTATTCTAACAATAAAATTTGTTATTTTTTTTCATTTCTAATTATCCTACTTTTCAGTTTTCATCTCTTCTTTCAAATTCTCCGTTGACGCTATTGTAGGTAAAGGATTAACCTGTTCATCATTTTCATTGCTAATTTTACTCTTCTCAGTACTTGCAGCGGCAGCAGTGGACCCTCCACCTCCAAACTGGCCAATTTGATTTCCGAAATTCTGTATATTCTCTACCAGCGGATTTGAACCTCCTTGCCCACCACTGCCTTGACCTCCTAACTGACCAATTTGATTTCCTGCATTCTGAAGACCACTAACAAACGGATTCGAACTATTTTGACCTCCCAGTTGACCAATTTGATTTCCTGCATTCTGAAGACCAGTCACAAACGGATTAGAACCATTTTGACCTCCTAGTTGGCCAAACTGACTAGTTGCATTTTGAAGACCAGACACAAACGGATTTGAACCATTCTGGCCTCCGAGAGCCTGGCCGAACTGATTACCAACATTCTGCACGCCACTTACGAAAGGATTCGATCCACCGCTTCCTCCTTGAAAGATTTGGTTGATACCTCCGAAAATTGAAGATTGAGTTGTTGAAGAAGGACCAGTGCCCTCATCACCTTGGACTGGTGCTTTGGTGCTTGTTGTTTGCTGGAAGTTGCTAATAATTCCTTGAAATTGGTTAATCGCGCCTTGGAAAAATCCCCCCGGACCTTGGTTCGAAGGAGGCTGAACTCCTGTGTCACTTTGATTGGCATTAGCGGACTGTGACGGGTTGTTACCTTGATTCGATTGACCGGCGACGAAATTTTGAATTGAATTAAAGACATCAATGAAGAAATTTGAACCACCTCCTTGGGCCACTCCGGTGTCTTCTTGTCCACTGGTAGTATTCTGACCATTTTGGCCATTTAAGTTGTTCATACTAGTTACAATGGCACCAATTCCTGAAACAAATAAGACTTAATCACAAAGAATGAAAATGATAATAAACAAACCATTGAAGAAGTTTTGGAACACGTTTTGCTGATTTTGCTGTTCATCTTCCGATCCAGGCGGTTTTTGATTGTTGTTTTGTTGGAAATTGTTGAAAAAATTAGTCACGGTTGTTTGAAAATTTTGTACAAAATTTTCAAAAAATTGATTTTGATTGCTTACATTATTTTCATTATTATTAACGTTAGTATTCTCATTTGTTCCAGCAGCATCATCTTTTAGATTAACACTTCTGTATTGATCTTTGAAGAATTTTTCTAAAGTCTGATTTAATTTTTCCCATGTTTCTGCACTCGGTTTTGCATTAGCGAGATTTTCCGATGCCTTTTCAATATTATTTCTGATCGAATTTATGCCAAAATATGCTATATTTTCAGCTTGCTGTAACATTGCAAATGCATTATTTTCTACTGGTTTAGCAACTTCTTTGTTATTTTGTTGTGGGTTAGCTTGTTGTTCGGTATTTTGCTGTGATTTAACTGGCTGTTCGGTATTTTCATTCAGATTTGATTTTATCTCCTGGTCAACGTCTTCATTTTCAACAGTGTTTGGTAAAAACTTAACCGCTTGTCCAAGTTCTTCTGGCGAAAGCTGAACTTTTGCATCTAAATTTCTCACCCCATAGGGATTGCCTTGGACTTCGGGGATCACTTCAGCGACTTCCGCTTCAACAACATCTTCTTGTCCTTCATTGATAATATCATCACTCAGTTTTAATTTCAACAATTCATCAGCAGATAATTGTATTTTTGCGTCTAAATTTCTGTTCCCGTAATAAAGTGGATCACCCCCGTCGTATACTACTTCAACGGGTATATTTCTGCTTTTTACTACTGCGGACTGTGCAGTAAAAAATAAGCAGACGGTCACAAACCACCTTAACGACATGATGGTCAACGTTTGACTGAAGTTGATGAACTCTTTGGTTGGATTTTATATCTAGTTCTTGTTTATCCGTAAGTTTTTCCCATATTATAAACGAGCGGAATGCTGTCTGTTTTAACCGGTCTCGAGATCAAGAGGAGATATTCTTGTGGCAACATCTCCAAGAACTGCAATCGAGGGTCAAGGCCTCTGGACCGTTACCTCTGGAGATTAAAAGAAATTTGGTTAATTAATTACAGGCGCACAGTTATTGAAATTTACAACTGTTTTGTAAAAGGTCAATATTATTTCCACATTCCGGTAATTAAGCGGTTTCCAGCAGACCAGCCAACGATAAGATTCCAAGTTGGTTGACACCTCCCAAAAAAAAAACATTAAGCAAGCAGGTATTTTTTATCTTATGGACATCGAATGACCAATAAAAAGAAGCAAAATGTTTTAATGTTGCATTCGTGGAAAAGGCAGACAGCTAAATGTGGCTGAATGTTTAAATTTATTATGCGTATTTAAATAGTCAAAATAGACCTTACATACCAGATCGATGCAAACGTTTATTTTAATTGTGAATGCTCAGATTACCTACATGCCAATAAGGTTATAATTAACGTTCATCAATGTTCAAATAGGACATGCACATGTCTCGTCTTTGTTTACACCGCAGTGTTATTACGTGTGTGTTAAGTGCATGTTACCTACTCATTATCCTACAGGATAAATAGTATTCTGAAAAATTCTATTGGAGCGTAATAATTTTACATGGAAATAAACACGTCACTGTGAATACATTAAATATTTAATACTAATTGCAAAAACTATTTGTATTGATTCTGAGAAGAGAATTTGGAATAAAATTTGCATCTTGACCCAAAATTTTAATCGATAATTGTGTACAACTTACACGGTAACACAGACTAGCTTATGCTTGACCTAGAATAACAATAGAAACTACCAGTTGAAACTAACAATTTACTTTTTAGAACAACCGATTCAGTTTCGAAAGAATTCGTAGAACGTAAATATCGTATGGTTTTAAAACATAGACTCGTAACAATCATCAAACTTAGTTGTCGTTAACGCTCCTCGTCCTTAAAGACGAAATTATTATTTCATGCATTTTGATAGTACTTTTTTTAATATAAATGTTGTGTCATATTTGTCATAATGGATTTAAAAAATCGAATATACGTTAATTTCTTTTGAAAACTTTATGTACGGAATTTTAAAAATAAAAAGATGTTATTCAAGTGTAAAAAATACCACGTAGTTTAGCAGTTTATTGAAATGGGTATTTTTTAACTAATTTTCTATCTAATAACAATAACTAATAAGATACGGTAAGTTTCAGACGGTCGTAGAAAACCTACATTTTCGTGTTCTCTACGTAACTCCTGGAAAACACACAAAATTAAACATTCGTTAGAACGATACTAAGTACTTATTACAATACTTCTTTAGATGGATGAAAAAAATGTGTAAAATTGTCGTCATCGAAGTTCCACAATACATCCGTTAGATTACCGAACCCATTTAACTTACCACACTCAAATGAATTATGTAAATTAGATTACCGCATACATTTTTTGCTACATATAAAAATGCATACATTTATTTAATCGATTTTAAACTAATCCTGCAGTCTTATTAGATAAAATGTTGGACGTTACGGGAGGTCTAATGTATTATTTTATTATCTACGACACTTATGTGGTGGCACAAATGGCCTAGACTCTCCTTATGAGAAAACTTGACACTTGCAAGTTATACTAACAGTTTTCTTTTTCTACTTTGCGTCAATAATATTTTCATTATGAAACGCAAATGTATTTCACAATACTTAGTATATTACACTTTTTTCGTAACAGGACTTGTGGGACTCATTCTATTTGGCCACTCCTCGCTGCGCTTGTCGTGGTCAAAACTCATACGTGCCACAATAATCGCCTTATGAAATACGTGTAAAATGTACTATTATTCTACTCATAACGCAAATAACTTAATTAATCTATATATACACTGACAAAAAACCCGCACACTTGAATATTTTGTAACTTTAGAATAATGTTTAGTATTATACCTGTTTTTACTTTTCTTCTGTTTTCACATGTTTTAAAACAAGGTTATGTTTTCGGTTGATGAGTATATTAATGTTTTGCTTTTTGAAATATTGTTTACAAAAGTTCAACCGATCGCAGGTAATCACAAAAAATTCAAGTGTCCGGGTTTCTTTGTCTGGCAGTGTATTACAATAATTTCGCTCATCTCGTAAATTTCAATTGTCTCTTAAGCAATTTTTGCGATATATCGTAAAATGGTTTACCATTTTTTTTTCAAAACCAGGGTAGTAGCAACGTATAGAATCATAACTAAGTAAAAATTAAACATGTACCATATGATAAAGAAAACTACTCTACTAGGTCAAGAAATTTATTTTTAAAATAATGATGTTACACCAATGTGTTCCTTGTTCGATTTGATAGTTACAGACAAATCACCGCAATGCCAACATCATATTTAAATCTTGTACGAAACGAAAATATCGGTCTCCCATTTCCATTCTGTCTGCAGAGTCTGTTTATTTATTAGCGATTATATTGTATTAAGCAGACAATCTCCAAAACTATTAGACCCAAATTACATGAATTTGTCTTGAAGAATTAGATGACGTCTTCTCAAAATTCGTTTGAAAGTTGTAATAAGGTCAAAGGAGCACAGATAAAGATCTATGCTTTAATAATGTATTTACATTTTTACCGTACCGTTATGCTTAAAAAAATTAAATTAGTAAATTGAAATTTTATTTATCCAAGAACCTACGTAAAAATAAACTTTTTCTAAGTTGTGGCAAGACGCTAATATTAAATTTATAATTACAGAACCGTATTTAAAATTTAGTGAACGGTTAGTGTTTTGAACCTTGAGTAGCGCTAGTGTCAAATACTCTTTATTTATTGCGAATTTCGACGCTTTTACAGTTTACACCTTCATCTTGCAAATTGTAAGACTTCGAAAATATATTACAATAGAAGAAAAAAGATTAAGATGATTAAGAGTAATCATTCAAAGACCCATTTCATTATCTATAAGAATTTAAAACTTATTTATTCATTCAATCTAGAAAGTTGACGACTGCATCTCATACATTGTTGGTGCTTTGGTAAGTGTTACTTCAGGAGTGAGGGGAATTATATTTAAATCAATTTCGACCAAACTTGTTCGACACAATAATAAAATTAATTAAAAAACAACAATAATTTGCATCCCGTCTTTAAGAATATAAATGTTATAAAAAAACCTGCAATTTCCTTAAAACAACAGAATATACGGTGTGAAAAAATTAAATTGACTTCTGATACTTTTTGTAAAATTTTGTTCTCGTATTGTTATTGCAGATCTTATGAACATCTATGTATTTAGATAAAATGACCTAAATGTCAATAATTATATAAAAATAACTCACAAAGGTATTCATGATTACCTATATTATATGTGATAACTATAATTTTAGTTAAATGCTCTTGTTTTTTACTTCCTGAGCGTAAGCTAAGCGACTTGATAGTTTCATGTTTTCTCGACGTTCCATGATCCCTATAGTACGAAAAAGTGATCTCCCGTTTCCGTCTGACTGTTTGTCTTTCTGTCTAAACTACTGAACTGATTGTTGTCAAATTTTTTATGTATATTAAGAATATCATGTAGACAGTAAAACGCTAACCAAAATTTGGCGAATCGTCCCCTACCTCCTCTCCAAAGTTTACGAAAATAAGTTTTTATTTTATAAAAGAAGATACTCGTTCACTTGTAATGTATGAATCCGTGCCCGAATCCAACATGTTGCAATTTAACTTTGAAACTGCAAAATCGAATGCTCTGAAATTTTGCAAACGTTTTAATGTGTTATCGTAGTCATGGTAAATCAAAATTTATCGTTTTTGAATCCTTTCTAAAATATGCAAAATATTATGACTTTATACGTGTAGTTTATCAATACACTGATAGTTTCTAAAATTACGTAGGTACTTACTTAGGGTGACTCAATAAAATTAATGAATGAAGCAATTTATTTTATTTATTAAATAAAAAATGACTCACTCCATTTTCCAGAAAATTTAGAAATGGATTACTGTTATTATTAGTATTACGTGCGTGTCCTTGCAAAAATGTTGATGACGTCATCACAAACATACCTTTATTTTTGACATTACATACCTACATATCTTTATTTTGACTTACAAATGTTATCATAAAAAAATTCGCAAAATCAAATTTTATAATTTTTCAAAAAAGCTGTATTTGTTCTACTGTACTTCAGTAGCGAGGAAAGTTCTGTAGAAATAACCAATTTTTTATTACGGTAGATGGATATGCATCTGATCGTATTTGGATTAATTATTTATTTGACTGTTTTGTAAAGTAGTCGCTGATTTAATAGATTAACAATATGACTTCTTTAAACACTACCTATAATTTGAAAATTATCGTATTTCAAAAATACATGTACATGTACATGCATTGACAGAACTAATGACATGTGATAAAACGTTGAAAAAGCTTTTCTATCTGCTGTTATTTTCTAATTTTTCCCCACCTCAAGGAACTTAGTGTGACCTATCTTACTCCAATTTAACCTATTTAAAATTAAGCTGTTCTGACAAACGCCACCGAATTATTTGAATTCGAGAACATGAGATTTTTTTTAAATTTCAGCCCAGAGGAAAGCTCGAGAACGTGAGAAGTTTTTTCAATTTCAGCCCAGAGAAAAATCTGTCAAGATCGAAGATTTATCGGTTAAATAATGTACAATATAAATATACAAAAACGGGAATAACAGATTCAATATACATTTTAACCCATCGTTAGTCTGTTTGTGCTGGTTGTGTCCCCCTATCTCGCCTTTCCCTACTCTCCTCTGCTTCCTTGAAATCACAATAATATACGTAATTCGTTAATTCGAATAAAATATATATTTTTTTTTAATTAGAAATTCTATAGGTATTCTTTCCCATGCACTTATTAACAACGAAACTACTAGTGGTAGACGCCAACTGATTATTTTAGTACATACTACACCAACCTCCTTCCACCTTCCTCAAGCTAAAATCGCACTGAGACGCGCTGTACAATTTAATCATATGACAAAGCAAAATCACATAAAAGATTCTGCTTCATGTTATTACAATATCTGAACTTTAACTTTGATGATATTGTTTATAAAAGGTGAGTGAGAAATTATGTTACAGAACCTTATATCTAGGGAAATAATAAATGCTGTATATAATACGCAGAATATAAACATCTTTTATTATTATAAGTAATATCACAATTAAATGGTTAACAAATCTGATTAACAATAAATAATACTATTCTTTCTACTGAGTGAACACATAAAGCTTCTCCGGTAAGATTCTGAATTGTCTGCATTGGACTAACAAATGAAATGATTGATTTGCTAAAACTTACCTACTTGCTAATTCAGAAACTTACGGAATATTGTTACGTATATTCAAATTAAAATTTGTTAGTAAGTTTTCTAATTTCCTAGCCAGTTCGAAAAACCAACAAAACAACGAGTAAAAACTTTGTTGCTAAACAAACACTTTTTCGTAAATCTCCAATCATACAGGTTAGAAATCTGTATCTCTACTTTTAGCTAGGTAATGTAAAAATAATCATATTTTCTTTAACCAAACATGAGATGTATTGTAAAGATTTTAAATTGTTCCCTAGTAATTATTTTTACAACACAGTACCCTTTTTGCAAGTTGTAGAACAGGATGAACACAACAACACGGATTCGATAAGCCGTTTTCTGTGCCTTTCGTTCTTGGCGCTTCCATTATTGCTTTTAACACCTCTTGAACATTCTCCTGTCAAAATAAAAATTACAAAATTTAATACGAAAGAAGTAAATTTGAATTGGTATTTTTGTGGCGTAAAGTTGAAATTTCTGTCTCAACTTTCGGTCACAGTATTTTTTTTAACAATGGACGCTCCATCACACGCAACCTGTACAGTACCTACTTCAAAAGCTACTAGTCGTATAAGAAATAAATGGATTAATAAAAGACGAATGAAAAATATCAACTAAATCATATCATCACCTGAGCGTAGGTACTTCCAACTTTCTTGGAGATAAAAGCAATTTTTTGTTAATTAAATAAGAGCAGCCATTTTGCTTATAAGCTTGATTACTATTATAAATATATTAAAGTTTTAACTGGCATACAAGTTTGTGTGAAAGAGAAACTATGAAAAAATATTTTTCGTTTACTTATACTATTAACATAGCCATACAACTACAATGTAAATTTAAAATCTACGTAATAGTACACACAAAATAGAAGCTAAAATAAACAGATCTTTAAAAAAATATCACTCGGCTGAATTTTGTTTGGTATGCCACTAGCATCTGTTAACAACATTTTTTTAAATAATGGAATCTTTGTCCTTTTTAATAAAGTATTTAATAGAGCTTGACTAGATAAATTCCTATACATAAGCTTACGAAAAGTACTGCAGTTTGTATATGGAAATTTTTGAAAAAAAAAAATGAATATTAAAAGCACTACACTTGTTATCATACGATTTTTTTAAATTTATGTTACCATTTGGATAAATGACACATTGAAACCAAATTTAACAAACAGTACGTATATATTGCATAAACACAAAAATGATCTTTCTAATAAGTCTCTTTTTGCAACGTCTGCAATTTTTTTCCTAAAATGGCCATTATAACAAAAATCCTTCATATGTATCTTTTGTAGCATATAACATCTGCCTTATTAGTTGAGTTTTAGCAGCCTCTTCAAAATTTATTTCTATCTAAATTAATTTCCGCTTAAAATGCCGAACAAAAACGATATCTAAAAATATTCGTCTCCAACTGTAATCAGAAATTGTAATCAAGTTAATAATAATAATTTGTGACATCTGCCGTTTTCGGAGGTCTTAATTCAAGGTTTTAACATTATTAGGATTTCAAAGAATTAGATAATTTATAATAAAAATATCGTAGAGTACCTCGACAAAAATAAGAAAAATATACAGGGTGTTTCTTTTTTTTGATAGAACCTCTGTAACTTTTTTATTCTTAAATAATAATAATAATAATTTATTACAGCCCAACGAGCAAGCTCATATAGGGCAAAATAGTACATACTAATATTTGAATAATTTCACAATACACAAAAAAAAACATACAAGTTATTAGTAAGTAGACGTTCATGTTAATTTTGGTGTATAATTGTAACATAGATTTTTACACGTACCTATCCATAAAGGCAATAATAAAAAAGAACTGAATAACCTCCCTAGTATAAGTTACAACTTTCAGATCCCGATAATTATTATTAATCTGTTTGTATCCAATCTCATGACAACATACGGCAGATCGTTTTCAATTCTTAATTACAGAGTTATAGTTCAATGCTCATGAAATAGAATTCGATAAAAAAAACTTATAGCAGACATCAAGTGCTACTTTAGGAAAGATCTTAAATGTAGTAGTTTTTATCAACTGTATGTACCTAAATAATTTTTAACCTTTAAATTGATAATATGAGTCAGCAATAGGTGCATTTTATGACATCTGAGAAATTATTATTTGTTATTTAAGTAGTTGGGGAAAACTGTAATTTTCAGATTACTTTATTACAATTAACTTATTAATTTAATTGGCTGAATAAAAGTTGAACTGTAAGCTCCAGAATAAATCAAACCAAATCAAATGATTTCATGAAAACTGATAATGTTATAATGTTACCTGTTACCTGGCTAACAAACATACGCAGTTTCACTTCCGAAAAATGAAACTTCTCATTTGTTTTAAGAAGCATCACTACTAATGTTTTATAATAATTTATACCACCACGCTTGAGAAACATTTCCAATAATTCATTCATAAACAGAATATGTAACTTACCTGCGTCAGAGCTGAGCATTCTACATACTTCATATTATGGACTTTAGCAAAATTTTTTGCAACGGTCTTTGTAACGAAAAGTTTACTGTTAGCGTTTAATTTGTCTATAGTTTCTGGGTCATTGCGTAGATCACTCTTTGTTCCTACTAGAATTTTTACTGCGCTTGGACATACTTCAATTTCCCGCAACCACTAGAAAAATATCTTCATTAAAATAGCAGTACATATACAGACATATAAAAAATAGGAAAATAAAGACGTGCTATTGGAAATATTTTTTAAAATCAGAAATTATTGCAAAAGTTCACTACTCACGAGCGCGGGCATAACAGACTTCGGTCTCTGCCCGCCCGCAGAATTTAATAATAATAATAATAATAATAATAATAATAATAATAAATTCATAGTAGTAGGTAACTTGTAACACAAACAAAATCTTTGTGGAATATGTAATACATTTTTGACAAAAAAAAAAACTATTAAAAGAAGAAGGAAACATAAAAATAATGCTTTATTAACTTTTATAGCACAAAATAGTTCAAGATAATTCTTCATAACACTAAATTAAAACATCAGATGAAAACTGACTGTTACGTAAATGATAATTAAAATTACTCAAGTTCATCGAATTTTGTTTAAACTTACCTTCTCTTTAACATTATAAAAAGAATCAGTATTAGTTACATCGAAACAAACTAGAATTATATTTGCAGAATCAAAAAAGGACCTTGTTAACATTTCATATCCTTCTTGCCCTGAAAATAACAGTTTTGAAATCTACTACTTTTAAAGTTTCTTAATATAATACCAGCAGTATCAATGAGTAGTATTTCAAAAGATTGTCCATTATGTTCCGCATTTACTAGGTAATTGTCAAATACAGTAGGTTCATGCTTGTTGTCACATTCCTGTTGAGATAGTCTGAAATTACAGTACCATCGTAAAAATTAATAACGTACTTTTTGATCGCTTACCGCAAAAGCAATGTCGTTTTGCCCACACATCCATCGCCAATTGTAACACATTTGATAGATAGTACACTCATTTTTTAAAACAACGGTCAAAAAACTTTACCAAATTGCTTTAGTAATGTTTTGCATTATGGTGCTTTATCTTCACTAAAGCATCCGTTATCTACATGAGATCACCCTCAGAACAATATCACTTTATGTTATAAACGTTTTAGTAGGAATACCACACAAGCTTATCTTATCTACAAATGCTGGTTATCATGGTATTAAAAAGCAAAAAATATTTCGCTTGCGTAAAATGCAGATGTGGGTGTATAGTACGTATTTTAGCCAATGTATTCCAAAAAGTCTTTATTTTTCAAAATTGGGGCGTTAATGAATGACCTTGGCAATTGTTTAATGATTTATGAGTCAAAGATCCAAAATTTTTTATAAAATCTTTTTTCGGGCAAATAAATGTGTTCAAACAATACAAATAAATTTTTCGACATAAAAAAGTTAAAGTAAAGTATATCTTACGCGTAACGACGTAACACACTAAACAAATCTAAATTAATAACTTTCACCAGGGATCGCTGTTATCGTTGTCGTATGCAAAATTTCAAAGGTATTAGTTTCATAGTTTATCAGTTCACTAATTGTCAAATTTCGTTGTAAGCACCTACAATTTTTCATTTTTTCCTAAAAATCTGCATGCCTAAGGTTCAATTAATAAATCACAGACACAAAAGCATATTATTTTGCCTATTTTAAACAACATTAACTTAACAAAATTCTAAGATAACACGTCATCAAATTTTTGGTGGGAGTGAGCAGACAAATTTTGGTTAGCGTTTACATTTACACGACATCCTTAAAATTTCACAATCAGTTCAGTATTTTCCAAGATTATCTGTTTAATATAATCTCCAAGTATGTGAAAGACAAGGATGCATTTTTTTAAGTATATATAAACCTTCAACCTTTTTAATCTTTTCACTTGCACAAAACAATTCAATAATTTTATTATTCTTATCCGTTTTAATCAAAGATATATTTTTACAAAACATCGTCCTTCGTTACTTGTAAATGACGTGCAATAGTGATTAGATTAGTAAAATAATTACGACGTTTGCGTTTATATTTTGATAATACTTACCGTATTTTTAGCGAAAGATATGTATCCAATCGGAGCATCTTACTTGATAAAAATATTTATTTATCATTTAGTTGTAATCTGTAAAGTATTTTAAGTATCTAAAGTCCAGTATAATCAATAATCATAAGTCAAATACAACCCTGTCTTCCTTTTGGTAAGTTTTTACCAAAAAGAAACGTTATTACTTTCCGAGCGTAAGGTACGGAAGTAGGTATTGTAATCGATTCCATCGGGCAACTGGTTGCTTTCATATTTTTTGTTTTTTCTTAGAACTTATACTACACAGTGAAAACAACTAACACTTAATCATACCATGAATTAAACAGTTTTTTTTGTTAATTTCAAAAATACTTTTATTTATTTTAGTTAATATATTAATCATTGTAAGTCATCATCCAAAGCAATGTAAAAATCGACAAGGAAGTAGAATAAATAGTTGCAAAGATGGGACAAGCGTTAGGAAGAATAGTTTCTGAGTAAAAGAGAAATCCTTAAACAAGTTAAAATATAAGTGATAAAAAATTGGTCGAAAGTTGTTTCGACAGAACTTCCCTCGCTCCTGAAATACAATGATATTTTTTTTAGTCACCCTGTATATGCAAATCCAAAAGATATTAATGCAATGATAAATTGCAAGTACCGACTCATCATATTTTGTACATTTTAGAGAGGATTTATTCAGCAAAATTTTGGAGTGATGTCATCAATTTTTTAGGGGGGATGAGCAAATACATTTTGCTCAAAAATTTACCATCGGGGACACGGAAAACTGGGCAGAGGTGTCATACAGTTGTGAAAATTTCTAAACCAGACCTTATATAGATACTTATAACCACGCTTTTAATGTTTAACGCATTTGTCATTTTGACACTGACAAAAATATCAATCGTATTGACGCTAAAGGTGGATTTACATTGACATTTTTTGAAATGACAAGAACAGACTGCCCAGAATTCCATGTCCCTCATAGTACCATTTGTATTTCTTCGTCCTCTAGGGGTCATGATAGGTCGAGAAATTGCAAAAGTAGGTAAAGAGTCGACCGACGGACTCGATTACAATACTTCCTTTGCTTACGCTCGGGAAGTGAAAAGGGATTAAACCAACCCTAGTGATCAAGTGAATCGTTGAAAGAACAAAAATAGACTAGATGCTGCTGAAGTTTAAGCAAAATTGAGGGAAAAACAAGACGAGACAAAATCAGAAGTGAAACATTTTGCTCCATCTAAGAGCACAGATACAACAAAGGATAAAAAACGTGCTGATATTACGAGATAAGAAATTATAGAAGAATAAATATAAATCACCAATTACTCCTCTCGCCTAGCCCTACACCCACTAGTAGAAGAAATCTGAAAAAAGTAAGTAAGCAAAATAAACAAGGTTTTTTTTCTTTAATATATTAATCGTTATAAAGTCATAACCTTGTGGAAAACGAGGAAAAATATCACACAGCCCCACTGGAATTCAAACCCACGTCTCCCACTTTCCTGACCAGACCAGACGTTATTATCTCTCTCCTCACTTTCCACGGTATATTATACCCCCAGGTATAAAATATACTCTGCCCCAGCGACAGCGCAGTCGAGCGGGAGTGTAAAGGAGCTAGGTGCTGGCACCGCTCCGACCATTCTTACGTACGTTGCTCGAACTCTGGTGCTGCGGAAACTGGGACACAGTGAGTGCAGGGACGTGACCGAAGGATATTTGAGCGCATGTTACCTGTCGCTGGTCAGTGGTCACCATTTGTCAAAAGCGACAAAAAATGTCACGACGTCTTCCACGTGCCGGGCGTGCGTCCTAACCGTTAGATCATCAGATCCGTGAATATCTCTTCTCACTTTTCGCTATAAAAGCTTATACATATTTTTAACATGACGTTAAAATACCACGTGACCAACTCTACGCCAATCAGATGTCGCTAAACATCTCGTTAAATATGTGATTAACCTAATCTCAGTTAACATACTGTATAAACTGCCCCAATAAAGTACTTTAATATCTAGGAGAACTCAAATAACTGAGTAAAACCTGGAAAAAGTAGTAACTATTACTACGAATGCTCGAGGTTGTAACAGAAAGCGTGACCACAACTGCAATTGCACTGGCAGTAGTTCGCTGATGGTCGCCAATGAGAGGAAATGACGCCCACTTCTGTGATGCCAAAGCCTGGTCATTATAATGCTTTTTCACACTCTCCATTTTCACAAAAAGGATAAAACTTTTTTTTTCAAAGTCAACGGAAAAGTCAACCCACATGTTAGTTTAGCCTTTTTAAGAAGAGTCGCTGCGTTTGGCTATGGGATTTTGTTATGAAATTTTAAGTAAAGCCTGTCTACAATTTTCTCAATATAATCCAAGAGTAGTTTTTTTTTAAACGGTTTATCATAATCTTTTTTTAATTTTGCTGAAATTTTGTACCACGGATTTATAGAATTTTGTAAGCTAAAAACATTGTTGGGAAAAACCGCATTCCGACATTTCCATCAATAATTGACATACATGATAAAATTTTCACCAAAATTAGAGAAAATTGTGGACAAGTTATATTGGTACTTATTTCGTTTAGGATATAACACTTAAAATTTTATGATAATATTGAGGTCCTGACGGTGGGGTGGAGATGCCGTAAATCCTATTGTTAACAGATGCAGTTACATTGTCTCTGGTTGTTAATCTAGGGTCAGCCTCTTGTAACATGGGGTCTATATAATTTTATGAGTTGTATCCTAAACGAAACGAGTATACACGCGCAATTGTAGCTAAATAATTAGCTACAATTGACTCAAGTGCACCTTCTGAGATGGCAACCAAAAATACCAATTCCATCAGTTATTGCTGAATAAAAAAAAATCAAATTAAATTGCATTCATGTTACAAATTGTTTGTCGACTCTTCACCGTCAGTATAAATTAATGTTACAATTCCATTTATCAGTGTAGTTTAATCATCGACATGCTATGTCATGCAACGTAAACAAGACTTTATATGGGTTGTATTCTTAAAATTAGAGCTGAAAAGGTAACTATAAGTATTGTATATTGACATGTATTATAATAAATTAACTTATTCATTTTTATCTACGTTTATTATTTATATATAGGTATCTTACCTGTAGATACACTGAACATTCTATGTAAATACTATGTCGATTTGTTATTTTTTGCAAATTTTAATATGTATTTGAACACTAGATTATCAGACAGTCAAATAACATTTTGTTCTCAACTTACCTCTAACTGTTTTGGTATGTTAATAGATATTATGTATTATGAAAATTTAACACCGATATTCTTATTTCTGGGACAATTATTGCAAGAAATTTTTGAAACAGAGTTGAGCTACTTACAAAATGAAGAAGAAAAAATTACGTCGATATTTTCTAAAATTAAAGACGTGATAATTTTTACTACCCGATCGTAAGCTAAGAGGTATTGTAATAGGGTCCGGTCCATTTGATGAATAGCTAATTCCATCCATCTTTCTCGACGTTCCATGGCTTGTACATACCTAGATCATGAAAAAATTCCATCTGTGTATTGGCGATTTTATTAAACAGTTTTTTTCGGAAACTTCTAGATAGATTGTTGTGAAATCATACATGTAATTTAGTAGGTATTAACTTAATGCAACGTGCTGGATTTATCCCTGTTAACAGGGCCGGCTTAACACGGTAAGCGAAAGATGCACCGCATCGGGGCGCCCATGACAAGGGGCGCCGGGCGGTAGGCGGCGCCTATGCTTTTGTGTTAACTTCATAGAAATAAATTAATAGGAGTATTAGATTTGCATTGAATCACTACGCACAAGATATTATAACAGGAACAGACCAAGGCGCCCATCGAAAACTTTTCAGAAAAAGCTACATTTTAACATTACACTATGGGGAGTGATTCACCAAAATAGGTCATAAGAAGTCAATTCCTGGCACTTTCTGACTGTAATAATAGAAAAAGAGTGCCCCTTTGGGTTGGATGATTGGACCTTTAGATCAACACCGACAAAAAATACTAGTTTTATGATTGTCATTATCTGGGTAACAATTTGAGACAGCGGTATGACCAAAACCAGATCTTTTTCTAACATTTGTCACGTTTGTTTGTACCATAAAACTCCTTGTCGGCACAAACACTTTTATATATGTATTAAGACTGATTCATATTATTTTATATATGTTTGTTAATTAAAAGTATCTCTCTACAAAAATATGTGATTACAAAATTTTGTTTGTTTTGTTTACAAACAATTTTTATAGGGCGTTGAACAGTAAGTTGCATCGGGGCGCCTGATCCCTTAGAGCCGGCCCTGCCTGTTAACGAGTTCATGGCGTCATCACATAACTCCTTTACCTGTAGTTTAATAATCCAGCCCATTTTTATTTTAAATTGCCAAAATTATCAGAACAAAGAATACATTTTAGAATGTCTTTAAAAAACTGAATTTGTTCAAGAGATTGTGGCAGGAGTAGTTACTATGTTTAAACAGCTTTAGATCAATTTTTATGTGTGTTTTACATGCTTCTGTAACGATCAAAATGATTGTTCTCATAACATATAATCAATCAGTTTTGCGCATATCGATTTGTTAAAATTTTTGTTTTCATTGAAGTGCAGTACCAACGTAGCGGCGAATGTAAATTACAGCGGACGGACAGAATATTTTAATCCCGAAAATAAATTGCAGTGATGTGCAAGTAGTACCTGTAACCAGATACTACAGACTCATTGCGTTTAAAGTTGTCTGATTAATTATACTTGGCAGAGTTTTTCACAATATTTTGGAGATTTTTTTCAAAAGTGTTATTTATCGGTATTTTCCAAGCAATAAATATTCTGTTTCCAAGATATTCGTAACAAGATAATATTGGGGATTACTGGAATATCATTCTTAATTTAGTAAATGCCGTTATTTTGCAGAAGAACTATCACAGACCCAGATTTGACGAAGGAGAAATGAGCTTCGAGAAATTCCCCAGTCATTACAGGTAAATGGGTGACCCTGCTTAGGACCGGTACCTGATTTAATTATTTGCTGCTGTTTACACTTTATAAAAATTTACGACACGGGTTAGGGAAAATTATCGGAATAGTTCCGCTGCAGTTTCCATGTGCCCCCAACGTAGCACCTTAAAGTGCACAAAAAGGTAGCATCAAAAGTGAACTGTTCGATAAAAACTTATGAATTCGGAAATGTTGTGATTCAGTTTGTTACACTGTTAAACAATTTTTTTTTCTCGAGATTCTCAATCACGTGATTTTTTTTTGTATTTTTATTGAGCAGAAAGTATGTTTATTATTAATTTGAGAAGAAATAATCTGTATAATGTTCTATACGTTTATGTTTATCCTGACTTGTGTATTATTATACATATGTTAAGATAAATACTTAAAAATGATGCTTAAACGTGTAGTTGTTCATGCATTAAGGATCATGAATTCAGTATCACTATCAGTAATTCACTTTATAATTTCAAAGCAACTAACAATAAGCTGTTATTACGTTACGTAAGCATCAAGATACGTACATCACCAATCAGAAGACATTTAATAGCTTTTTTAATCATTACTAACACAAAAGCGTATACTTTTTTTACCCCTTGAAAACATATTTTTATGAAATATTATTTATCTGCCCAATAAAATCTAATGTCGATAATGTGACAAGATAGGATTTTTATAATATTTTGTATCCGTAAATCAGGATTTTAAAGCCAATTGTCAAATAATAACTCCAAATCTGTGTGAAACACTTTAATCAAAATAACAATATTGTTGACTTTTATAAAATTATTGTAAATAATAAATAAATAGGAATCAAACAGAACTTCTTTTAATAGCTTAATAGTAAAGACGAATTTGATTCCTCACAATGACAACGATTCTGTAGTATCCAAAATACCAAAAGTAAACTTTGTTTTAGTTTTGTACCTACCAAAAAAATCCAATAATGTGTAAAGGCTTATATAACAATTTAGAAAAGTTACTTTTCTTTACTCAAAGCTTGAATAAATTCTTCTAGTTTCTCCTGAATCTGGCGAACTCGTTCTGTAACGAAATATATGTTAGGACAAAAAAAAAACAGATCGTTGAAATAATGTCGTTTCAAAAAATACATCTACCTATTTCTTTTCAACATAAATAGTGACAGTTTGATTTGGGATAAACGTTGTTTAGATGATAAGGTTAGACAATTTTTAATTTAAATGTTATTTTAACTATTCTAACTAAGTAGTTAATAATGCACGCTTATTACGACCATTACGACTCAATTAAAATTTAACCTAAAAAATTAAAATAATCTCACGATCTCGTAATCACTTGTTGCAAAGCTCAATTAAATTAATATGAAACAAAATACTGTAAAGTACATTATATATTTATACTTACTCAATTCTTCAGCTAATGTAACTCTTCTGCCAGTAAGTAGTGTTTCCTTTTTGTCTATATCTTGACTATAATCTTCTAGTACGTCCTTAATTTCTTTATCTAGTCTTCGCGCTACAAAGAATTATCGATATTTTAAACTTCTAAAATAATACCTTACAAACCTTCCCGGTTAATTATTTGTTGCCTAAGAGCGTTTGAAGTGACTTTCATCATTTGTTGAATCCTATGGAATAGTATTATATCTGAACATTCAACATCAGCTTGTTGATGATACAAATAAAAAGATTTCCGACAATCATACGCCTTAGTTAAAGACTGTTTAAGAAAATGGCGTCTGTACACAGGGAACCAAACTTCACGTATGAACTCATTATCAACTTCTATGCTACTACGTTGTAACAAATTATTCCTAATGGTTGTCAGTTCATCATAAGTTAACAAGGGTGGATGTTTCTAAAAATAATCACATCAGTACAAAGAATTTAGTAAAGAAAAAATAAATGTTACTTCGTTTGTATATAGAATCTTATCCAACTCAGATTTTATGGCACATCGCTTCGCTTGTTCTTCGCTTTGGTACTTCCAATACATCCATCTTTCCTTCACAGAAGGACCTAACATATCTTTCAACATGTCTTCTGTTTGTTTGAGTTTATTTTTCACACTTGTTTCCAGGAACTTCACAGCCGCGTCCCAATCCCTTTTGTCACTTACAGTGCGATCTTCCAAAGCATTCAGCTGAATAACCCTCAGCATTTCCGACGCTTTGTCTTCCCACGAATGTCTTTGCATAGCTTCACTAACTACTGCCGCTTTGAGAAGATCAAAAACATCATCATGATCAGGGGCTTGATTAGCTTTACTCATGAACTTCTGAAACTCTTCTTGCAGAGTTTCCCAACCTGACTCTACCGCCTGAGATGGCAGCGCTTGCTCCGCCCAATGCCTTAGTTTTATGTCAACCGATGTATTAAAAGTCTCGAAGCTACCGGTCTGAGCCGCTGGCAAATATATGTTTTCAAACACATGGCTCGAAACTTTGTCCCAGATTTTACTCATCAAACAATCTTCCCATTGCTTGGGGCTAACCTGGGACAAATTTACAACCTCATCGAGAATTTCCGCACGGGCTCTTTCAAACAATTCATCCCTGTCTTGTTCTCGTATTCGCGGAAAATTATTCTTCCACTCGGTTTCCAAATTGAACCGTCTAGCTTTAAAGGCATCGGCTTGCTGTTCAACCGTTTCGCGCACCATTTTCCAGAAACAGTCAGCAACTGCTAGACTCAAATTGCGAGTAGTAACTTGTGTGGAACGTATGACGCCATCTTTGAACAGCTTTGAATTCTTGAAAAAATATTCCTCGTAATCTTTTATTGTTTGAATCGAATCGTCTTTCCGACCTTTTCCTGTAACTACAGCGAAATAGCCTATCGCTTTCATTGGGAACAATTTACCGGAAAGTATTTTGCGAATCTATTAAAATAATTAAAAAAAAAGACATGTCAAGTTGAGCCTTATGACTTACTCGATTTGGATCGGCTAAATTTTCCTCGGCTAAATCAACTTTAGTTAAAACGAAAATTGTTCTTTTACCGTTTGGATCACATTGTGCTACTAAGTCAGTTACGTTACTCCTTTCTGCGTCTACTGAGCCATCTTGAATGCATAGAATAATAGCGTTTGGGTTATTCATGTAAGTTTGAGTCATCTGTTTTATGCATTCGCGAGTATCGGACGCCATGTCTGTTGTAACAGTCTGAAATGTTTAATATGTTTCTATTTTTAAGTGCAAGAACAGAAATTAAGGTAAATTACATACCGTTTATTATCCCACAACACCGAAAACAACACACCTCAATTCAGTTTAGTTTTGTCTACATAGATATATATATATCACACTGTGAGAGCAATACTCACGTAACTCAAAACCTGCGCGTTGTGAGTAATGATGATTTAAAATTCCCAAGCTTTTATATATTATTTGTATCTTAAATACCAAAGGCTTCGAAATAGATTATAGTCGTATTGTCAATCTATTATTAATCGTGTTTTTATTCCTTTAGAGTAGACCCTTCTACTCGTTATAGAAAACAAGAAATTTTGAATTTTGACCGGCAAAAAAACCGGCCACCCTCAAAAATTTCGCAAAACCACTTTAAAACTTAATTTAACTAGTGATCGTTATTTTATTAAAGAATCATTTACTATTGACACATGATGTACAAATTAGCACAAAAAAGAAGACAATTAAACGCAGAATTAAATTTAATTTAACAAAATAACAGAAACAGACCAAGTACGATATTTTCTTAAAAAAACAATAAAGGAGGCTGTTGTTGTAAATAGTGTTTTTCATCATTTGATTATAAGTTTGGCAATTAATTAACGTTTTCACGCGAAAATAATTCTATTAACTCTTACAGACGTCTTTCAAAGTGTCGCTCTGTTTCTGTTATTTTGTTAAATTAAATTTAATTCTGCGTTTAATTGGCTTCTTTTTTTGCTAATTTATATCTTATATATCAATAGTGAATGGTTCTTTAATAAAATAACGATCACTAGTTAAATTAATAATTTTTAAAGCTTCGTTTTGCGAAATTTTTCATGGTGGCTGGTTTTTTTTGCCGGTTAGTGTACTATGGCTAAATTGTTATAAAATGTGTTATAATTTTGTTTAATTCGCTTCTTTTTTTCCTAATAGATTCAGTCCATCGTATTTTTTTGCGTATTGCTAAAGGACCTTCATAAATATTATTTAATCATTTTCATTTAAGTCTGATATCGCCGTTGTCGTAATGTTCGGGCATTTATTGACTATTATTTCCTGATATACTTCCTTTCTATACGAAGTTACAAAATTCCATCGGAATTTTTGACAAATTTTAAATTTTTTATTTCGCTCTAATTAACTTTCCTACCTTTCCTATTCAAAGAAAAATTGATTTCCATGTTTTCGGTCAATTCTTAACTATATCAGAAGACATTGTGCATTTATTGTGTTCAATTTGTACCTAAATTAGTAGGAGTAACAGATTATCAACATCGTCTGAAATCTCATAGTTTCATAGCTTACGTGCATTTCACTTAGTTTTGAGATACGGCAGTCTCGCATTAAGTGCACGCGTAATGTTCGGAAATGCAATACAAACATTTTAATGAATTTGAGCATTACGCAAGTATTAAAAACCGTTTATACTTGCATATACTAAAACTACATTAACTTTTTTATGCATTAATGATAAATTTAAGAATTCGGCAAATTTTGACTTACGTATTGCTCTCACAGTGCGATATATACAAATTTCATTCGAGATACACACACATAAAACTTTATGGCAGATAATGAGTGAAACCCCTGCACAATGGCAACAGTAATTTATTGCTTTTAACACCCTATGCGACCAGATATCGGCACGTTCCGGCAGAATTTTTCAGGGCCGTACTCTGTTAAAAAAATAAGGTGAAATAATAGACAAATTGTATTAGTTAAATAATATTTATAAGATTATACGTCACTTTCAGACTCAGATGAGTCGTTATTTATTGAAATTATAATTTCGTTAGGCCGTGTATTTACAAATGTTGATTCAACTTTTATAACATGCCGAATACAATTCTGCCATTTTTCAGAAGATATGAGTTCTGATTGTTGTCTAATGAGATTTACTACAGCGGGAGAACTTTCTGGACGATTATTATATTTTCTAATATTATATCCATAACATTACCGAAAGCAGGTAAAACTTTCAACTCAACCCAAATACGGCTCTGTATAAAATGACCTGTCAAGCCCTTTTCATAATTTATGGTTACGGTTTCAGGAGCACCGATTTTTGAGTGATTGGTCCCATAAAAATTTATGTGGGTGTATCTCGAATACAGTTACAGTACTCCTAATATGTTACTACAAAATAATATCATACAAAAAAATTGGCCACGCGTTGAGAATGACTTTTGTGTTTTCGGTGTTGTGGGGCAATAAACGTTTAGTGTCATCGTGCGCCGAGTGATCAAAGAAGATTCTTGAAGATAAATGTTCAAAAATCAAAATAACTTTTATCTGCGTATACTAATACTACAGTCTTGCAGCATGGTCCTATTCAGTCAGTCACCGGAATTCTGTGGTGTCAATGTAGCGCTAACGTATAGCTTCTCTTGAGCTTTGGCGGAGATCAACCAAAGCCTTCAGTTCCTTGTAAAAGGCTGGTAAAATCTGGTACCAGGTACTTGCACCATATTGGTATCTGGCTAGTAAGATCTGGGGCTTTAAGAAGTACCAAGAAGCCAGATGCCTGCGCGGACGGATCGGGGAATGCGGAAAGGGGCTTACCACCTCACTTTCCACCGGACCCTCATAACGGGCCCGAGATCAAGTGTGGTGTAACACGGATTCCCAAGACCAGGTGCAGCATTAAGTTCCGGTCCTCTAACGTGATGAGAACATGTAGCCTGTCTTAGAAGTCACCTAATCCGCCGCGTGCAGGATACGAACCGCGAGGTTTATTAAATCTCCAAATGATGCAATGGTCCAGGTCAACTAGTACCTGCCATACTAGTGCGGATTAGCTCCGCACTAAACTGATACATGGAAATGTAAAAACGTCTGCCCACATGCGGAGCACTTGTGATCTGGTGAAGCTCTACCAACGGGTCGGGGAGCTATTCGAGTAGTGTGATATTTACAGCGAGTTAATTCAGCAATTGTGTTGGCATCCCATCACTTTTTTAACATACTTCAAAAGGTTTGCAAAACCCAATTTATTCCGCAATTAACAAGCTGGCCAACTTCACCTACTATAATAGTACAGACTGGGTAGCGAACCAAAAGAGTTCTTAAAAGCTTGTGTCTGTGAGGGGCGCGATTACCTAGCGGGGAAACCCGTTAGCCTCGGCGCCTCATCAGCTCGCACCGCAAAGGAGCAATGGCGAATGTTTACCAGTACCTACTTGCTCGAGGTGTCTCCTCGGCAGACAAAGCCTGGACCTCGGAGCGGGTTCCAAGGTTCATCGAACGTATGCCGTCCTCCGGTGTCACCCGCATTGATGTTGGACTTGAGGGGGTAGTGAAAAGCTTTATGATGATGGGAAAAGACTTAAAAGTCGAAAACTAACGAAGGAGGATCTCGAATATTGGTTCCATAAGGGTTATCACGTATCTATTACCCTCAATATTAATAATTCGTTAAACTATTATAATTACAAAACCTGGATTGAAGCTTGGTGGTCGTCAAACTCCAAACAGGACAGTAATACCGTACCTTGATTGTCTTTGTCTGTTATGTAATTAACTTTTTAACAAACAAAATTATGTCAGCGTTTACGTTTCTTACACACTATCAACAATTCCGCCGATCGGTCATTTTACCTATTTCGCCCAAGAGTGATGACTTGTATTTTAAAAAATAAATTTGTTACCAAAGCTAGTCAGTCCCGTGTTAACAACTGAGGGACAGTATAGTGCAATGCTTTAAGTATATTAATATAAATATATGGATTTAAACAATTGTAGTATGCTTTATTTCAAAAACAATAAAGAAAACATACAGTCGCGGCTAGAAAATCTTGGACGTCATTTTTACTTCCCGAGCGTAAGCTAAGGAAGTATAGTAACCGAGTCCATCGGGCGAATGTCCACTTTTATGTTTTCTCGACGTTTCATGACCCCGACAGGCGAAAAAAGTAGTCTCCGGGTTTCGTCTGTCTGTCTATATGGTGTCTGTATCCATTTTTATTAAACACGTAATCTCCGAAACTGCTGGACCGACTGTTGTCAAATTTTGTATGTATGTATATTAGAAATATCATGTAGATGGTTAAATGCTAACCAAAATTTGGCTAATCATCCCCACCAACAATTTGATGACGTCATTTCAATGAATCGTATTTTAAAATAATTAACATTATACTACCAACAAGGGATATGTCTCCGTGGCGCAGTAGCTTTATCGCGGAGAACGGCGACCTGTGGTTATGGATACGAACTTGGCCCTTTCGTTTTTTTTTCTTGCACTGGCAATACGCCGTGACTACTTTTCTTCTGTGCTGTAACTAATATTATTCATGTTGATGACGTCATCAAATATTTTTTATTGGTCAAATTAAGAACGAGTCACCCCATTTTCTTGGAAATATAAAGAGTACGCACGTCTTCATATAACAATGATAAAATAAGAATTATAATATTCAGAACAGTTTGTTCGATTGTGGTTTAATTAATAACTTTAATCCTCTGTTTTGAGAAGACAAATTCATTCAAATCAAACTAAATAATTTCTACATGACATACTTTCGATGCATAAACATTAGGGATGTACCGACTAGTGGCCGATCGGTCGGATAAGCCGACTATTCGGCCGTTTTTCATCGTCGGCTGCAGTCGGCGACTGGTCGGCTAAACAGCCGGTCAGTCGGCTTTTTTTTTATTAAAATTAAAATAGTATATAAAACAATTAAACCAGGTTTGTAGAACCTCAATTAAATATTTAATTGCGATTTAATTTTTAACCCCGCGTTAAAGTACCATGTGACCGACTCTACGCCAATCAGACGTCGCTAATGGCCTTGTTAAATGCGCGATCAACTTAATCTCAGTTAAAATATTGTATAAACTGGCCCTAAATCGTGTTATTCTTTATTTTTGTACTGAGTTAGTAAAAAAAATTAAATGTTAAAATTATCCAAACAAATTTAACACATTTTTTGGAAAACAAAGGAACTTTAGTTATTCCTTTTACTAAAATAAAACAAATTTTTAAGGTAGTCAGAGAAATAGAAAAAAAGACACACTGTCTGTCGCATTTATAAACCCGTTTAGCAAAGCCGAACAGTCGGCCGACTAATCGGTTTTTACTGGCCGAACAATCGGCTAGTCGGTTAGTCGGCCAAACCTACAGTCGGTACATCTCTAATAAACATAAATAAACACTTGAGCTTCAGATTGCTATTTCCTAGTGTTGAAGGAGACATTTTATCCCGTTAGTTATGTGCTTTTTAAATATAGTTTACATTGTTCGTACAGCGCAGTGGCTACGGGGGTGTTATTTAAACTGCTGATTTTTAATTTAATAATTTACAGAAGATATCACAAAACGAAAATCGTAAAATCATATTTTATCATTTTTTAAAGAGCTGGATTTGTCGGACTATACTATACTATACTATACTGTACTTATAGCCTTCGACCCATATTTTATTGATCAAATTAAGAACCTCACTTCCTATTAAATATGAGAATACCGACGTCTTTATTTAATTATGATCAAATAAAAAAAATAATAATCATATTCAAAATATTTTGTTCCATTGTGGCTTAATTAATAATTTTAGTTTGCTGTTTTAAAGAAAAAAATTATTGAAATTAAATAAATTCCTACATGACATTCTTTCGGTGCATAAACATAAACAATCGAAGTTAAGCATGTGCACTGGTAATAATACACTCTTTCCGTTGGTTATTTGCTTTGAATATACTTCATATTGTCCGTATGTCTGCGGACGGCACCTCCTTGGAATTTGCACCCTCGGGGCGCAGAGGATTCGAGATGTCATTTACACCACTGGTTTTATCATATAAACGTTATCAGAAAACAAAAATTTTTTATAGTTTTTCAATGAAGCGGAATTTTTTGGACTGTATTTCAAGGGCGAGGGAAGTTCTGTCGAAGTAACTTTGGACCAATTTTTTCATGCCTTATTTTCACTTTGCCTTTGACGTTTAAAAGAATTTATCACATTATTCACGTAGCATGCAGTGTCAAAAATGACGAAACTAAAAAAATAAGGTTACAATATTTAAAGGTGGTTTACACTTTGTGAAAACACATTGAGGTCCAAGAATTTCTGGTCCCGACTGTAACTTGTAAAAAAATGCATGCTGCTACAAAAGTAACCCTTGTATATTCATTATGTAAAATTGGTCTAATATTATTTAGACAGAACTTCCTTTGCCTCTGAAGTACAGTCCAACAAATTCAGCTTCTTCGAAATACAATATTTGATTTTACGAAAGTTTATCCATTTTACGATGACCCCTGTAAGTTAACGTACGGTATCGCTCACAACAACTCGATTTTGCACTGATCAAACATATTCTAAGAAACCATAAACTCAGAACAACAGAACAAAAAAAGTATTGATCATTTCACAATTAAACAACAAATGAGATTTTTCTTAATACAAAAAAAGGGCCCAAGGTTATTTTGATAGAACTTCCCTCGCCCCTCAAGTGCAATAAAATATCCAGCTTTTTCGAAAAACTATAAAATTTGATTTTCCGAATTTTATTTTTTTTTAAGAAAACCCCTATAAGTTAAAATAAAGATATGTATGTAATGTTAAGGTAAATGTAAAGAAACTTGTTACGCGTTGGCTTCAAATTAGTCTTTTGTTACAAAATTTTGTGATTACGTGATCAACATTTTTGCAAGGGCACGTATATATTTTGGATAGGTGCAGTGTAATACTAATAATAACAATAATGTATTTCCAAAATTTCGGAACAATTAATGGAATTCCTGATTCAATCAACAAAATTATTATTGATTCATTAATTCTTTTGAGTCACCCTGTATAAGCAATTCTCAAAAATATGAATGCACTGTTAAATTAAAAATAAATGCACGAGTATATACTCATCATAGTCTGCACATTCTAAATAGGATTTATTTGGCAAAATTTTGAGATGACGTCATTGATTTTTTAGTAGGATAAACAGATACATTTCGATTAAAAGTTTATCATACTTACGAGAACCTTAAAACGTCACAGACAAGCAGGTAGGCAGATACACAGCCAGATGGAAACGGCTACTTACTTTTTCGGATTCTAGGAGCTATGATATGATTGTAATACTTCCTTAGCTTACGCTCGAGAAGTAAAAATTGGAGATGTCAGAGATCGAAACCCGGTCCTTTCAAATGCCAAACGAACGCTCTTAACAGTAAACCATGGCTCACGTTTCAAATGTTTCGTACTATATATTTAAAAAACAGCTTTACTTTTAGAAATATTAAGTAATAAAAAGACGACAAACAGACGGACAACAGACAGACAGAAACGGGTGACCTTTTTTGTATACTCTAGAGGTCATGAAACGTCGAGAAAACATGCAAGTAGTCGTTTGTCGGATTGCAATACTTGCTTAGTTTACGCTGGGTAAGTACAAATAATATGCAAAATCATCTCGGTGAGACGACCGACCGGTGGAATTGCAGATAGTATGAAGAGGCCTTGGACAAACAAGTTTTTAAAACAAATTTTTGTAATCTAATAGAAATTGCGGCCTTCTTTAAACAGGGAACAATGGTGCATTTAAAACCGAAATAAAGTTATTGTAAGACTTAAATGGACTTAATAACATTAAAAAGTAAGTCAGCAAACTATCATAAATTCAAAAATACTCTATTACTTTTTATGTAAAATCTAAAATTAAAAAAAAAAGTAATATGTATTAAGAGTAAAATTTTTATAATTCTGTAAGATTCTAACCAAACAGTTGCGCAATCCAGAGCTAATGTTGTGGATAAGAACATAAATCATCTGTATGTTTACATTTCAGTAAACATGGCACATCCATAGAAGGAGAAGAAAAATAAATGCACTGTATAAAGGAAGGTTGAAGTTCATTATTTTCACTATCAAGCAATTATTTTGGTACTATAATCAAACACAATGACTTACGACCACAAAAATAATAAAAGTGCATTTAGAATTTAATACTCACTGAAATAATGCCTGGCAAATCCACTAAAACCATCCTATGTAAACCAGGTCCTTTGACTGTCATTGAAATTACTTCACTAGATACAGTTTTTCCTCCTCTAACACTACTTCTCATCCTCAGCTCTACCTCACGTCGCAAGTCCGCTAAATCTGACTCTTTTGTTAAATCAAATTCCCTTGTTGAATCTCTAAACTGGGCAACGTGGTAGGGTCCTTCAGATAAAGTCACCTTTACTGGTGCTCTTGTCATCATTTCTCCTGCTCCTCTGGGAAATATTCTAGCTTGAGCAATCATCTCCAATACTGATGTTTTGCCACTACTTTGATCACCAACAACCACAACCCGAGGCAGTTGATCTTGAGTATTGTAACCACTGTCAAAATCAGCAAGCTCATCTAATACTTCACTATACATATCAATTAGACTATGCTTAATTTTTCTAGTTGGTGCTTTTTTGCCTTGTTTGAGTAACAAGTTCTGTTTTCTTAATTCTTTATTTTCCTTCTCAAGTCTTTCTAATTCCTTTTGGTATTTTATCTGTGTCTGTATCATTTCATCTTGTAAATTATTTAATCTGGCTTGGGCATCCTTCCTTGCTTTATCATCTCTTTCAAAAGTTTCAGTGAATGATTTTGCAAAAACTGTATTCTTTTCCTTAGTATCTACAATTTTTATTACAAACATGTAATAAATGTGGGAAAAACTACTGGGGTAGCATACCTGAGTACAGTCGTTCTACAAACTCGGAAAGGCTGGAGAAAGCACCTAAAGAAACAAACATAATTTATTAAGAATGAGAGCGAATGTACTCGGATATGAAACTTTATAGGGGATTACCATCAATTGCCGGGGGTAATTGTCCATTCTGTTGTTCTGCTGCTGCAATTGCATCATCTAATCTCTGGTCAAACCATGATCTAAACTCATTTAGTTTTGATTCAGTTAAGGACTTAATTCGGGGATCTAAACATTTAAAAATGTATTAGACATTTCATTAAAACATGCATTTACCAATGGCAATTTTGTCTTTCATGGTATCTTTAAATTCAATCAAATTTCCACGCCATTCCTGCCACTTTTCGTTATCTGGAAGTACATCATCAAGCCATTTTAAGTCGGGCATGCCATCTTGCCAATCTTGAAATTTCTGTAAAAATGTTGATATTACAATGTTTAAAAATGTGTCCATCACAAACTTTTTGTAAAGCTCCTCCTCCAGCAACAGCTCCTCCTAACAATATGTAACGAATTTTAAGAACTCCCCTTAAAGCTCTAACAATGAGCATTCCATAATGCCTTCGCTGGTATCTATTGTGGGTATAAAATAATGGTCGCGACCTTTCAAGAGCTCTGCCTCCCCATATACTACTAAAGCTCCTTTGGTTTATTTTAGACTGACCATATTTTAAAGGATTGTTTAAATAAGAACTTATTACTATACGGCTGCAAAATTTAAATATTTTTAAAAAATTTACATAACCTTATTCTGACTGCATGTCACGTAACCAAACATACCCAAATTTGCCTTTAATTAAGTGCTCCATTTATACGATTATTTAGCTTTCTACCAGATCATTATATGACATAACAAAATTACCGATCAAATCGAAATGAATAAAATTTTTTGGAAACTGCCAAGTACTGTCATTAGTGTCACTTTGCACTTGCCGGTCGAACATAATTTCGATGTAATGGGATTGATACTAAAATTCACAGAACCTATAATTTAGAATTTGCATTAGACATAATAATTATGCAACACACAAAACAGCTTAACTATACCGACAGTTGCCGACAATAATAATACATTTTTCTTAAATATTGTTTTAGCACCGAATTTGTGTTGTACATACATATAATTACAATTAATACTGCTACTGCAAGTTTTTTTTATTAATACCAGTGATGTTAATACTAAACGAAGACTAAAAACTAGGGTTTTCATTTTCTGGGGATTTTAATGTTGCAAATCTTCAAAATAATATTCACGAGGCATGAAACGTCAAACAAGATTAATTTAATTTGCCGCAGGTTAATTTTCAGCTTGTCTGGTTTGCACAAAGCCACAGGACAAAGGCAACATTCGTTTTAATTAAGGAATTACATATAACGTCCAATTTATGAAAGTGATCCCCAGAAAATGTTTTCAGACTACTAATGGATAATTATAACCGGATACGTAATTAGCGATACTTCAAGTTTAAATTTTTTACACCTGATAAAAAAACCGTTACGCTTAAGCAACGGGCTCATTAAAAATTCTTGAAATTTCTGAACTAAAGTAGGAGATTAAAAAAAAACTGGGTTGAACCCACCAGCTCCAGGTGACGACCGAAGAAAAATACTGAATCGTCAAACTCCAAGGTGACTTGTATGTTCTGTGGGTTGCATGTTGATGGTAATTTTAGTCGTTCATTAATGCCCCCAGGGTTCGCGGTTTTGTTGTAACAACAATGAAAATGAGCTAATCCATCGCAAGAGGATTTCCAATCGACCTTGGCTTTGGTCTTGCTTGGTTCAAGGATGTAAACATTAAACTTGATTTAGTACAAATAGAACCACCAAGTTGTTAACTACTAAGTAATTTCAGCGTCACTGCAGCCAAGGTGAGTAATTTGCTAAGTTTTAAATGCGTCGGTGTGTATACTTTAACGCTTTTAGATGAATCCAGAAGATATGAGTGTGTCCGTCTCCAGACAGGAGCTATCAACATTACCATCACAGTTAAATCAATCAACAGACTGTACATTTATAATTGGTGGCGAAGAAATAGGAGCTCATAAAATTGTGCTAACATGCTGCAGTCCTGTTTTCGAAAAAATGTTCTATGGAAAATTGGCTTCGAATCGAATTATTATTACAGACATCTCTTTGGAAGATTTTACTCAGATGCTCAAATTTATTTACACTAACACTGTGAGAATCAAGTCAGTATTACATGCCTGGTCATTATTTTATGTTGCTCATAAGTATTTACTAGATAATTTTGCCAATGCTTGTGTTAATTATATCCAACAGAATTTTAATATTAACAATTTGATACTGAATTATGAATATGCCGAAATGTATGGGATTAAGAAGTTACAAATGATTTGTATGAATGATATTGCTGACTACGTTAGAGGAATATTCCTATGTGATTATCATATGAAACCGACAAGCCTTGTGACAATCTTACAACAAAAAACTTTAAATATTAGTAATAATGAGTTAATAATAGGAGTTTTAAACTGGGCTGTTACAGAATGTGATATTAAAAATATTAGTCTATCAGCAGAAAACATGATAAATCTCTTAAGGTCATTTGAAATTCTACAGTTTTTAATTGACGTAGATTTTACTATTAATCCCAATTCAGATAACTTAATACTCAACTGTAGTTACTTAATTAAAAGTTTTAAAAACCCCAGCATACCATACAGACAATATTTGAAAAAACAGTGGTGTATTTTTTGCAAATGTAGACAAACATATAAAATTGCGAGTAGAATTGAGATGAGAGAACGAGATGTTTTAATTTCCAATATTTCAGTCAATAGAACTTGTCTATTATATGGCTTAGTGGTGGTAACAGAAAATAAACAAGTTGGTAACGAAAATAACGAATATAACGGCGGCATCCGAATTAAAATAGGAGAAATTAATAATCGTGAAACAATCATTGATACCACATTCCATCAGACTTTATTGTATGAAACATCAGTGTACGTCCCTCTGTCTGATGTTTTTTACTTAGAGTCAGATAAAATATATTCAATTAAAATTAATTACCAGAATTTTGACGTTTTTAATGATTTGGGTGTTAAAAAAAGTTCCGTTTTATGTAATTACATGAGCAATAAGTTGATTGATCAGCGAAGGAATATAGTTTTCTCATTTGATGAGTTAGATGGTACTGTTATTAGAGGTATTTCTTATTATCCCTGTGTAGAAATGTGAAATGTAATTTAAATAAATTGTTTCGTTCACTCCTGAATTTTTAGTTACATAACCGCATCGTATTTTTTATGTTTTTCACATTGAAAACGCGTGCTAGTATGTCAAAACAGTGATATGCCCATCTGTTATCGTTTCCTAGAATACTCTATATGTACATGTGATTAAAACAGTGTGCACCTAATCGTCTTAAAAAAACACTGACACATTTTCGCCTATACAAAGGTCCAGAGGTGTCGTAAGGATCAGTTGACAAAAGAATACGCGTTTCCATTTTTCAACGCAGTGTGATAGAATTCGTTTCGGGTTACACTTCAAAATTATTTTCAAATGTACATCTGTTTCATTTGAAAGTTATACTACACCGTATCAACAACTGTTGCATATTTGATTTTTTTTTGTAAAAGAATGGTCATATTTAAAAATTCGCAACTCCGCCATATTTTAATTTACCTTCTCTTGAAAAACATAAAAATTTGAAAAATTATTTAACTTACGTGTAGGGTGTGAGTAAATTTGCAGATTGTCAGTTTATTTATATCATTCAAATGGAACACTATTTTATAACATTTTCAAGCTGATCTCTTTATTTGTATAGATATATAGGTATGTATTTAAAGAATATTCGTGTTCCAATATTGCTACGAATTAAAAACGAGTTTACGAGGAACCGAGAATATTTGCAACTTAGTATAATATTGACTTTAATAGTAAAAAATATAGCTTGGAAACCTATTCTTAACAAATTTTGAATTAATTTGCATTTGTGTGACCAACCCTGTGTTTATATCTAAATGAGAATTTTTGTTTTATTAGATCCGTTTATGTATAGTAAGAAATTCGTCATACTAAATTTTCCAGCTAAGGCTTAATTTTCAGAAATTTTGTTTCTCAGATACCTCTGATTCTACAGAATACTAACCTAAGATCTACATTTGCATTATCTTTTTAACGACTCGTAAGTATTCATTCATTTCAAATTTGTAGCATTTATTACGTATCCAGGTCCAACGTAGACTGATCTCAATTTAAGTCAATAAACAGAAATTTGGATTTGGCTCCAATTCTGAAGCTAAGTTCAGCGTGATCAGTATATCAATATTTGTAAATGGGAAATAAAGGCATTGATTAGTGGAAATGCCCGTATAAAAAATAACCTGTTTAATACAAATCTTTAATATTAAAATATAATTTAATTTTAAAATAGACACAATAATTACTAAGTACTAAGGAGACGAAGCAGATATTCACATGCGGAAAAGGGAAATGAAAATTGAAGGAAACAAAATTATTTTTCAATTTTCGACGAAAGTAATGATTTTGTTTTCTTCAGAACAGTGGTGTTACGTACGAAAATAGCTAAAATAATTTAAAGACGTATTCCTGGATTTCTGGAAGCGACAAAGTTCAACAGTTCTTCACTGTCTTCACACACGAAAGGTTTAACGTGGTGGCAAGCAACATCGTGCCATTTAACGCCATCATTGTAGAAGTTGTTCAAGATGGACAAACAAGACTCGTCGTTACCCTGAAAGCAAAGTCGTTTAGTAGAGTAGAGGAGTATGAACGACCCTCTTAAGTCAATGACCCACCATGCAGAACTAGTTTAGCAACATTTTTGCGCGATCCTTTCGGGTAGTTCATTAAAAAAGCAGAAACGTAGCGATGTGGAAGAAATTTAGAGTTATGGTTAACGTCTACCCGTTATCATCAGCTTGCAGTTTTGTTTTTTAATACATTGACTAATAAAATAACTAACAAGGCATCTTTATTACGCGCAAAGGACAGTTTTTATTTTCTTTGGTGTAAATAATAGAATTTACGAATGTAGCGAATTTTTAAAAATTTAGAAAAGAAGTAATAGTTTGCAACAGAAATGTAATTAACGAAAGTCGCATTACTAAATTAAGGAAAGTGTGTTATTTACCTGTGCAGCCTCTCTGTTGTCAGGCTGGGGCTGTCCATAACCACCTGTGTGACTCCAGTCTCCAGAGTTTCTTTGTGTTGTGGGTCCAATTTTGGCTCCAGAGCCTGACCAGAACCATCCGTTAATATTTGGTGGTTGCAAATCTTGTCTGTCACATCCAGCAAAGTTACATTTTCTGCCAGAAGTCCAGATATAACGAACGTTGCCTCTGCCTATTCTCTGTTTAATAAATTCGTTTTCTTGTGGAGTTTCAAGAGAAACGGCGTCCATACAGTGTCTTCTACAAATGTTCCTAGCGTCTAACCAGTCTACTTCAAGACTTCTTGTGGGAGAGTGTTCCCAACTGAAGAAGTATGAATGTGTAACACCACGGGCGTCTCTGTATGTGGCATGACGTACTCCTAATTAAAAAAAAAAATGCGTAAATAGATACATTTGTGAAATTTAAAATAAAACAATAACATAAAAAGTAAAGTAGTTATTTATAATAATAACTCTAAAAAACAAAGAATGAAATCTTAAAAGTCTGACATTGCTTAAAATTCGAATCGATGGTTGACGTAGTATCACCACCTTCGCACTAACCGAGATAATTCCTACACCACTCTGTTATGAGCTGATGATCTTGAAAATGGCTGAAATGATTATCAAACATAGCTAAAAGCAGCCGCATTAAACTAGCTTTCAAACAAACAAAAAAAACCATTAAAATCGGTTCATCCATTGGGGAGCTACAATGCCACAGACAGACAAGGGCTCCAAAGTTATAACTTATAACACTCTTATAACGCCCCTTTTTTATGTCGAAGATTAAAAGTAATCTTTCTCAAAAAGTATGAATTCCATTAATTATAAAAAATATTAATAAGGAATACCACGTTTCGATGAAGCCAAAAAATAAACAGACCCATGAATAATATGAAATTTAGTGTAGTGTTGTTTCTAGTATTTCGTTGATTATTTATTGATATTTTTCATGCTTATTTATATAGCCTAGGCACGTAAATTGTAAAGAGATGTTAAGAACAATATATTTAATGTGGAAATTAGACCAAACAATTTTGTATGTACTTTAATAAATAGGAAATAATTTATTTATGTTTTTTTTTGAAACAACAAAATTTAAAGTCTTTCACCATCCAACGATGGAGTCGGTCACTCAGTACACTGACTTATGTGTATGAAATTTAAATAATAAATTATTGTTGAAGATTATTACTGTTTCAAAGAACCGTAATAATCGCGTTATGTACAATGTCGCAGTAACCCGGTATATTTAAATATGCAGAATTCCAATCTTAATTAACAGATAAACTTTAACGCTGAAGATACGTATGACTGCGCACATTATGGAATAAATTCGACAAAAATCTAGAATGAAAATCGACTTATGGATAGTTTGCGTAAACTACATTTTGAGAACAAATTTTAAATTTTCTATTTGATGTGTCAAAATTGTAAAATATGTCTTACATCTCTTTAATAAGTAACTGATTCGGAAAAGAATAAATAACTGTTGTTAAGGTTTTGATCAAATAAGTGAAACCAATGCTGAAAAAATCAAGTTAAATAGAAAACTATGCTCAAAAAAGACTAAAATTTGTCAGTTGATATTTTTTAACAGGAAGTTCAAGACGTTTTGACTACCATTTATTTAAAATTACCAATACATGAACCTATTATTTTCTAGTATATACCAATAAACTGATTTTCATATTTGTTTTTATTTATTTGAATATGCTTATTTTTCTATCCAAAATCACATATCGATCTACTTATTTTTCTTGTAAAATATGTACTAAAAAATAAGTATACGTCACTTACATTTTTTTTTTTTTAAGAATTTGTTGCTTAATAGAGTTATTATTATGCTAATAAAATATTGTTTTCTCTACACTTTTTTATTATAATTTTTTAAATTTTAAACTTACTGCTGGCACAACTTCTGGGATCTGGAAGCGCTAGTCTTCTTTGCGCCATGACCATGGCAGCTCCAAAAACAAGGAGCGTGAGTTCTCTAAACATTTTGATCTGCAAAAAAAAGAATAATTGAATGAAGCTTGTTTAGGAAAATCCTAATTGTGATGTTTTCCTTCACATTATAGTGAAAAAATGTTACAAGGTTTTTTAAGTAACTTCGTCAATTGCATAACTTATGCAAGAGTGATGGTCTAAGCATTTTGTTAGATAATTCAAAAAATTACGCAAATTACTCATTTTATAAATAAGATAAAAATTTATTGATTCGTAAAAGTATGTTAATTTAATTCAGTTTAAAAGCTGAAATTTATTACTGCAATCAGAAATTTTTAAAAAATACATATACACAGTTCTGCAATGCATAAATGTTCCAATAATTTTTTGTCAAACAATTTGGTTTCTGTGTAAAGGTGCTTCGTCCCAAAAATATCTGAAAATGATCTTCACATTTTATTCTTACAGCAGTTCTATTATCTTTCAACTAAATTGAGCAACTGTTTTTATTTACAACATATAATTAATGAATTGTGAAAACATTATTTTCACGAAACCGTGAGAGTTTATTTTTGTTTGATTTTTCCCATCATCTTCTGTAATAAATTAGGTTTAACTTACTCTTGGTTATTTTACATTGAATGTAGAAAGTTGCTTTTTAAAATAATCCGTTCAAGTCACGTCGTGACACAAACTTTTTTATAATAATGTGATTTTTCACCTAAGCGATAACCAATACAACAATTTCCCTGTAAGCATCTTTAACCTACTAAACAGAAGTTGTTGCCATTTTAAGTGAAATTTAATGATTCACAGTAAATTCATTGCAGTGTACAACAAGAAAGAAAAGTGATAATAAATCTACTAATTAACAAATGAATGAAGATATGTGTTTTTTTTAAAGAAAAGTTTTGGTACCTACTTTTGTGAATGTGGACTGCCACTTTCTTTAAAACTTCTGATATCATTTCATGCAAGAAACCTGTTTTAAGTGTTAATTATGCCAAAGTGATTGTGTAGGTGTTTTTACAAGAAACTTTTTTTAACTGAAATGCTGGATTAAATTTACAGCAAATGAACCTTTAATCATAATGCTGACAAATTTTGGGGATTTCGATGCGTTTTGAGGTGACCAAGATTTTAACAGTTGCAGCAACAACATCAACTTTAAATTTAATCATAGTTTTTCTTTTAACTGATGGCGTGGGGATGCATTTTCCCACTATTTTTAATTAAATATAAACTTCACCGTTCACAAAAACTGAAATTTGCTTTTTAAAGCAAACATAGTTCGTTAACAATTTTTTAAAAACCTTGTATTGTATATTTCTTAATTTTTAATATTACGGGTCATCTGATTTGCCGGGAAAATTAATTCACCACTATATAGAAACAATAAAATAAAAATGAATTTTAATTTATGAAAAATAAAATATATATTCTTTCAAGAAGTATATTTTATGTCAATCTGACCCAGATAAGCTTATTTTAAACGGATTTCTAAACGATAATTTTATGTCTTTTTAAAACATTTCTTGCGACTGATTCAGAAACTAACTAAAACCGCGTAATTAAAGGTACATATGTTTTGGCTGACTCATGAGAAGATCCCGTGTAGTTAATCTAAAAACATCATAAAAAACAATTTTTAAAGCGAAATACTACTTTCCAATTTTTTCCTCTCAGTGAAATCATAATGGAAGTAAAATTCAGTAACCTTAGTGTAGGTCAAATTATTAATAAAATTAATGTCAATATGACTAATTTTTGTATCCACATTCATTTTTTTTTTCGTACAGACTTAAATTTCGGTGATTTGGAGTGTGGCACATCGATGTGAAAGCCGTCATAAAACTTTATGAAAATTTGGCTAAAATTAGCAGCTGATCAAATTAATAAAATTTAATTAATTTGTTTCTTTAAATATTTCAACCAACCTAAGTAAATGTTTCATGCCAACGAATGGGCTTCAATAATCCTGTGGAAAATTCAAAGGTACAATTTTTTTAGGGGACGAACTTGAACACTAAAATAAGAGTCACGTATTAATCTAAAAAGTTTTTAAGCTGTGCGAAGTAATTTAGTTATTGAAGTCTGTTCATTAGTTTAAATCACCTCTTTTGCCCAAAAATAATGTATTCGCACAGGAAATGTTAATAGATTTTTGCAAAATCTGTACGTTTTTTTTATAACATCTTAATAATTGACATTATGAAGTTGCATTCAATTGTAAAAAAATATCCAAAACAATCTAGCAAAAATTTATTTTTCTTGGATTATTTCATTTTCCAAAAATACCAAATGTTAATGAAATTGAACACAGTTCTTAATTTTGCTACTGTTTTTTTCAGAATTTTCCATGATTTCGAAAATTATGTTAAAATCTGTCTACGATAGCAAGCGCAATTAATAAATGAAAAGAATGAAACAAAACAACTGGAAAGAATACAAATTTTTAGTACTGTCAATAACTGAATAAAAAAATAACTGTAATGAAGAAAAAGATATTTCTATGGATAGGATTCAAGAATCAGATTCTCAGCTACAATTCAAATCCATTCTAAGAAATTCAAATGTAAATCCAGATTTCAGTTACGGATTTTACAAAATTAAAAACTGATTGAACACGACCAGTGGTCACGTAGTGTAATTAATAAGATCCAGTGAATTTTATTTTCTACTGCAGTGAATACAAGATTAGCACAATTTTGCATGACGGTTATTGTGGTTAGGTTCTTTCATGAATAAGGTTCTTTTTTTAGACAAAATGACTTAGTAATTTAAAAATTAAAGTAAAAAATGAAACTGGCAATTCGGCCGATGGACTCGATTACAATACCTCCTTAGCTTACGTTCGGGAAGTAAAAATTGAAATTATACTCTCAATAATGTTTAATAGTATTTACAGTGTAACTTGCTTCTTTACGTACGACTTATAAATCTATCAGTATTTTAACTTTTAAAAAGGCCAAGCTCACTTCCGTTAAATTCAAGAACACAGTTAACCTATTCTGAAAATTATCATAGATATTTATTGCGACTTAGATGACGTCATCTAAGAAAAATGAAATAACTGTTTATTGAACAATTTCTCTAAGAAACCATAGTGTTTACGTTTCGATAACATCATTTCATTTTTTAGAATTGCTTATACACGATGCCCCAAAAATTGTTTTCCAGAGCCAGAGGTTAAAGAAGTGTACAAATAAAATTATAGATTTGAATCTATTAGCTTAATGCAAATTCGATGATTCACTCTTCCAAAAACTGTGGGCTTACCCATAGCGTAGCACCTAATTAAGGTTTCTGTGATCACTTCAGCGACGAGACTGGTAGACAGTAAATTAAATCAAGAACTAGATATTTATTTTAAGAGAATTTTAATAAGCGATTGGAAGCAGATGTATCTGAATACGTCAAATGGCCTCGAGTTTATATAGAACAAAATCGAAGTAGCAGCATGAAAATTAAAGATACAACTTTTAATTGCAAATTTTGAAATATCCGTTTGTACAGAAACTAAAACCTGGACGAATTCTACTAAAAGTGTTCTGACTTCAAATGCAGTTTTCAGTGAAATTCCTTCTTAAAAAATCGGTCCAAAAAATCAGAAGAAAAAAGAAAGTCGTCTCTTAATCTTGTTTTTTCTCGCTGCTGCAGTTCCTTCTTAATTTCATAAACTTATTGCCTACTCCGGGCAAAGCTATAACCTCTATTGGTTCAAATTTGTAGTTCAAGACAAATTACTTCTGAAAACATGACTAAACCGGGGTGCCACACCCCGGTGTTGACAGAACTTAAGCAGACAATTCAACAGGTGCTTATTATTCTGTGTCAAGTGTAGGTCTGGTATTCGATTGTCCCGGATAAAGGATCGTTTCCGGGCGATCTGGGTCATGCGTTGACCTGCAGCTGCTTTCACGGTCACCAGCCCAGCCGGAGATGGCCACGTCTGGGTATTACTCACTGTTCATTAGTTATTCTAGATGAAATGGTCGCCAATTCGATCACTTTTACCACGATGGAAGTAGTTCAAAAATTTTAAGGCACGGTGTGTTGATATTGACCCAAAGAATTTCACTTGGCTAGTTCCACTCATTCATAAGCATGACATTATTATTGAAAGTTCATTGATCAGTTGATAGGAAAGTTTAGTAGGTAACTGCAAAGTGTTTGTTTTTCCGGTAGAACTTTTTGGCAAACTGAAAAGGAAAAGCGTGATCTGCAGCACGAGAGTGCTTCTTCGGATCACCTTGACCTTCGATCACGGTTTTATTGGGTCGTTCATTATGTAGATGTTTCGTTGTTTTTTGAAACGCGGGTCATCTCACTTTTCGGAGGCAATGTCACTTAGAGGTCGTCTTCTTGCTTTTACAAAAAGTAGGTACATGGAGCAGTGATTTAAACGCATGTTTATGCGATGTTCAAGGTGCTGGGCGCATTTTTCCTTGTCATTTTTGGAACGACTGTATAAGTAAGAGCAAAGTCAGTTTAAATTCTCTATTTCTTGTATTTTTTTGTATCATTCATCACCAGTGAGAAAACCGTTCACTAGGGAAAAGTTTGAATTTTTGGGATTATAAGCTGACTGATATAATCAAAAAATAACGGTGTAACAGTTTTAAATTCGGAACATCCAGTTTCTAATCTAATGCGGGCTACATGAATTTATTATCATATAATAGAAGGAACCGCCCATATGACATGGTGAATTGAAAGTAGATTCATTATTAGCGAAAATATTGAACGACCATCTTCGGATTCTCGTGATGTTCTGGAACAATATACTATAGTACATTCGTGATAATAATGAACACAAGAGTGTTATTCTTTTCGATTATGCAGTGAATAAACAATACAAACAACGTGTATAACTTATTTTGGAGTACGCGAAATACGTAGGTGATTATATCAACGGCATTAATGGCTGATAACTAGGGTTTCACTGCTATTGGCTAACTTTCTAATAAATTGTATAATCAGTAATGTAGTAAACTTGGCACGAAATGTATCACTTATGTAGGAACACCACAAGTCCCCAGTGCTTGTTGTATTTTGACAACGACATGTGTCAAGTGCAACAGTACAGTGAGAGTATAATCAATAAAAGTGAACAAACCAGCAACAACACTATTTTAGACAAACCAAAATATGAAATGATCATACTATTCGTCAATTGAACAGTTCCTTAAAGTAGTTTAAACCACAAGATTAGGAGTCAGTGGCTTATTGGTACTTGATGATTAAGGAAAATAAACGATTGCCATTTTACTTGATTTTCTAACAATTTGTATCTAAAAATTGGGATTACAAAGATTTACGTCATTAAAAATCATTTGTACAGGGTAGCCAATTCTTCACAAGAAGTTTATAAGTTTATTAAAGTTGCTGGTTAATTGTTATTGTTAATGGTTAAAATAGGAACAATCATATAAAGTAGTTATACTTAATGTAAAATTAAGTAGTCTTCATCAATTTTTTGTTGTCAAACGTAAACTCTTCTTTGATTAGTTAATTATTTATGGGCATATTGTAGGTAAATTATGTACACACAACATTTCCAGAAAAATGTGAAATATATTTGAGAGATATTTAAAAATGCAAGTTAATAAAAATGTTGTTAATGTTATAAAGTTATTTTTCACAAATTTTAACTTGTACGTCTGACGTCAACGGTATACTTTTAAATAGCGAATCTATTTCATCTCTTATTTTAAAATAAGATGTGAAACTGAAAAAAGTTGGAAACATTTTTGAGTGTTGATTGCTGGTTATCAGGTTATCATACGTGATAAATTTTAAAAACAGGTTGAAAACATACTTGTTCTTTAACAGTTGCGTTGTAACTTTTTTACTTCTTGAACGACAGCTAGAGAAAGAATTGTGAAAAATTATTTTGACGAGTAATTAAATAATTTTATACTGGTTTTTATGTCAACTTACAACTTAAAAAAGTTTTTAGACTCTTCAGTTTCTTTAAATAAGTGTTCAATAACAAATTTTCAAATGATTTTTACACTAATTTTGACACAGAATCTAATGCCATCAAATTAACAAAAAATCCAATTTGAAAACGTGAAAACAATACTAGAAATGGAGAGTAAGTGCTGCTGTTACGAAATACAAGTAAATCAGAGCAAAAATGTAGGTAAAGTGTAAAAGCTTCTTAACGTATCTATAAAGTGGAAACTTGTTTTGAGTTTTCTCTATTGTTGTGGTAATTAACCAAAACTAATGCATGTTGATAGCTGTGTACATCAACTTTGTACCTGCACTTAGTTTTACTTAGTATTATTTTGTTATGTAACTTACTTGCTGCATTAAATTGAGGGTAATGTCAAGGTAACTACTTTCACATTAGATCAACTTTCCTATACTTCAGTGTAAAATCTGATTAAGCGTATCATCTATTTCCATTTGGAATTTTGTGTGTAATTAGTATGCATGAGGATTACCTCAGGCTCAACATTTGATCATATATTCAAAACTTTTATGAGTCTAATGCACTAGATAGCTATTACACATTTTTGATTGTGTATTACAGTAGTCTGCATCTGTCAGAACAATACATGCATATACTTTTTTTTGTAATTTGAGATTTCTATATTTGTCCAATAAGGACAAATCAGCCCTCTTATAAGTATATCATCATCACTTTTCTTTCAATTACTTTAAAAATGTGTTTTAATTAAACTGTACTAAATATGGTGAAAATTGGTACAAACTAATTGTTAATAAGAAAAGATTTCGCGCTCTGTGCAGCCGTCAACAACGCGCTAAACATTCTTTTTAACATCGTCACTCATTAGTTGACCATTACCTTTACCGCCATACGACACACTTTTTCGGTTTACTACTCAAGTTTTTTTTTGTCATTACTCATTATGAACGTGCCAATAATTATTTACACGAGCATCACCTGAACACGAAGCTATAAAGCAAAAATATTTTCCAAAGTTCAATCTTTAACAACAGTTTTTAAAAATAAAGAGCGCTGAAACTTATTGGCACATCTGCTTACAAACAATAATGATGTCTACAAACAATCTAGAGCAACTGATGCAATATATGGGCAGCCAACTTATAATAAATTGTTACAAAAACGTATAGTTTTAAAAGTACATTAGTGAAACTTTCCCCTTGAAGACGAAATCTTTTTTAAATCATTTGTTCCAAAATCAACAATTGGACGGCTGCAGTTTCAATATTCACTGCCCGGAAAAAAAATTCGTTGAGAGTGTCGAGAAGATATTTTATAATTCAGTGACATTATAACTTATGCAACGAAACTAATTATTTACCTGCCTATCATTAAACAATTTCGACATATAAAATTGTTTGAAACGGACAGTTAACGTAATGACGAAGATGTATGTGATTCTCGAACAAAACAAACCATCGTGCTCTTCACTATGATGCAACTATCCCATAATGGACATTTATAGTTATTGTGAACAGTCACCAGGAAGAGACATGTTCTCGTTTCAATCCTGTTTAACAATCTACCGGTTACTGCATCGATTACGTAAACTTTTGTCTTAGATTCTAAAAACAGTAAGCAGACACTGTGTGATGAGAATCTTAGGAATTTTTCACAATTTTCACGTTTTGTTTTATACATACCGTATATAATCAACTATCAGTCACAATTGACCTGCATTGTTAATTCTTCGATGGGTTGGGACTCATCAGGCTATAAATCAGCTCAGTTGGAATGGATGTAACTAAATGGTAAAGTTTGCGCAATTTTATGTTTTCCTGTACTGGTGAAGGTACCAGCATGATAATAGACAAAACTATAATGTAACGTAATGGGAAGCATTCAAAAAGATCGTTACGAAACCAATAGGTCAAAATAGAGCATCAATCATGAACTATCAAAACCTTCATCGATTATTGTGAAATCGAAGCAGTTGTCGAAATTTTTGCAGATGTAGAAAGAAATTAAACCAATATTCTTTGTAGGGTATTAGTAGGAGCATTATTTACATAAATAACTATGGCTGATTTTCTCGATTTTAAATCTTCATTATTTACAAATGAGTAAAATGTAAAACTATTATCACTTATTGCAGCATCAATTGCATTTCGACATAACTTTAGTTGTATGCACTGTTTTTTCTTGTATCTTTTTCAAAAATAAAATTGCATAAAACTTAACCGATCATTGTATAAATATTAATAAAAAATCGGGTGATGACGACAGAGAACAATTTTAGGGGAAAAAATGACATTCAAATAACAAAAAAGTTAAACTATCAAAAATAAAAGCAATAAATCCTTTACAACTGTAACAACATCTTTACCCCATGCAACTTAAAACTTGTTCTTACTAACATTTTATCAGCTCCTTAAATTATAAATATTTATATTATTCTTTGTTTTTAAACAATAGATTAAATTCCGGTCGAAATTAATTTTACAAATCTGCACTGCCAAAATAAAAGGAACCAAAATAAAGAGAACTCGCGAAAATCACGTCTAAAGCTAACAGTTTTCCGTACCGTTATAGAAACAAACACTGTAGATCCACACAAACTTACCAGCAATATTCCAGCAAGTAGCGGCGAAGAAGCACTTTGAATGAACTGTCTGACAGATGCAGAGTCGGTGTATATAGCCGTCCTACATCCCCACAACTTCATAACCTACATTCTACAGAACCCCCCGGGGTCCCCCCGTGTACCCTCTACATCATCAGATGACCACTGACATTTGACCACTATCACTATCACATACCTTTGCAAGATTTTTCAGAACGTAGTTCATATGGAAACTTGGAAGGTTTGTGTACAGAGATTCGGTTACAAAATTTGATTAGCGAAGTACCCAGGTGTTACATTACTCTGAACGTAACGTAAAAACCCATTGTCAATTAAAAGAGAAGAAACAATAATTAAAACCTGATTATAAATTCAAATTTCAGGATTACAAGCATGCACTAACGTAAAACAAGAAAAACACTGTTTCCGGTATGTTCACACGAAGGTCGCTTGTAAGATTTTGACTTCTGAGTTCTTTTATTGTGGATGGTAAACATGGGTGATGCGATTTCGCATTGACCGAATTCGCATCACATTCTAATAATAAAAGTAGACATTAAAACGTTCTTGTATTAACAGAATATTTATTTGTTTATGATAATAAGGTTCGCTTTGAACATTGAGATGACACTAGAAAGGTTATAGGCATTAAAAAAGTAATCAGGAAAAATCAGTCTCACACTGATTTAAACGTGTTAGGACCTTGTGGTTTGTGCATTAACGTTATTGTCATCCTACGTAAGTTATCTTCGCCAAAAGTTTGACCTTCCGATCGGTAATTGTGAGAGGAATAAATGAAATCCATCGTTTAACATATGAGAGGACAGGGACTACAGGTTTTCTTTAAAAATCCAGACGTAAATCGTGTTTAGGAAGAAAGTGGCCAAGAATTTGAGTTTCGAGTGAAGGTAAAAATTTTGCGTGATGTTCTGAATTAGAATAAGCAGTAATCAAAAAACATTCATTAACACACCATGTTTGCGATGCAGCTAAGGTAAAAATCGGTTTGGTTTGCTGCTTTACGGTCTACAACTTTCTATTTCGATCTGATCGTCTTCCGAATAAGTGTAATCATTGCTGTGGCACTAATTTGACCATAAACGATGATAAAAGGTGCCCTAAATTTAAAACCTTGACGGTAATTGTGTGGCATTGACCCTCCGATGCATCACGATTTTATTATGGACATGATAATAGAATGTCGAAAGCGCTAATTACACACTAAATGCATTTGAAAATTTTGTGCAAGTTTTGCAACAATTGTGTAAAGTCGATCGGATAATTTAATTAATCGACCGTATCGATTGCGTGGAGCAACATTGAGGCATGTCTGTATTCATCATCGCTAATTGCTCTTGAATGAAAATGTGGGAAAAATGTTGCGTTACTTCACGCCTCGATGATTTTCACCAAAACATGCAAATACAAAAAGTCGTGTATCTTTTACGAAGGTCGGCAAAAAGTTGATTTTGAAACTATTTCTAAAATAGAAAGGGGAGCCAAGTGACACTACAAATTTATAAGTATGTAACACAGGCCATTGATGTATGTACTCGTACCACTTTCTTAGTTCATGAAATGAATTAATTTGTTGAATTAATTATTACGGTTTCTCTTCTCTTTGACGCTGCAAAAAGTACACCCACAAAATTATTGTCGCGGTTTTAAATAGTCGTTTTTAGGCTGATTTTGTGATCGGGCATGGACTTCATAAGTAGTGCGTTACGAGTCTAACAGTGAAAAGGTGTTTTCTTTCCATTGGTGCGAAGAAAACCAGCTTGAGAAACAAAGGTAAAAACCCTTTACATAAAAATTCGCTCGTTCGAAGCAATTATTGTTTCTGTGAAGTTTGCAAAGCCTTTTCAAATGGCTTCTGGCTACTTGCAATAAAACTGTCTTATTATCATCATTACCAGAAGTAATTTTAACTTTGAATGTTAGCTGCGATTATTTAAAGAAATTTCGCGGAAATTATCTGATATGTTTTGGAGATGACCCAAAATACACAAATTTGTAAAATTGCGTCAGCGGACGTTCACCTGATGATGTGATGGCTCTTTAATTTTGTTTAGAAACAACTTAATTAGGTACTTACCAACATTAGTCAAATATGTCAACATGTGAGCTAATCAGCTTCTTTCTTGTGAGGCACAAAAGAACATTCCATTCTTTAGTTTACTAAGTTCAAAAGTCAAATTTGTGAAGTATAATGAAAGTTTTTGACGTAGACTTACAGCTCTTCTAGGAAGTAAAAGGTGAAACAAATATTTATCATCTTCAGAACGTTTATGTCAGTGCACCAGATATTACGTACGCATGTAAAACTATATTTTATAAAATATAAATGACATAAATGATACTACGACCCTTTTAAAATACGTAATAATTTATTTAAGAGTAAAAATATATGTAGTGTGAGCATTTTCAGATTGAAACCAGAAATTTCGATGCAAACAAATTTCAGTCGAGTAATATTAAAACGTCTAATAGAGAATATTTATAACAAGAAATATTATGCTTCATATGTTTGTTTAATGAATCCTTCTTTTCAACACCCAAGACAATTTCATTTTCTAATTTCAAAGAAGCCGAATTAACAGATTTTGTTATATTTCTTAGAAATACATTTTTTAGCTGAAAACATACAAAAAGTGGTAGAATATTAACTCACAACTAAACTGGTACTTAATAATACATTTGAGATAAAATATACTATAAATAACTTTTTGCAATGACGTCATCGACTTGTTAGTGAATATAAACATATTATTTTCGGTACCTACCTACAATTAACGCAAATCACCATTTGATTAACTTGTTAGAATTTTGGTGAAGTTTGTTGAACTGGTACTGAAAAAATGACAAACGAACGGACCTATACTTCATTATTTTTAATAGGTCTGTATAAAGAATGGTAAAAAATTCAAAACATTATTATTCGCATAGAACCAATATGTTTTCCTAGAACACATTTTTTTTAAACTAGGATGTATTTAAAATTTCTTTGGAGTGACTCAGCAACCATTGGGTTGGTATAAATATATCCATTTTAATAAGTACAATGCCATGATTTTAACAAAATTTTGAGCTGACATCAGCAAATTTCTTAAGATTTCGTAGTTTCGAAGATTATCTTGTCTAGTAAGTAATAATAAACATTTTAATTCTTACATGTAAATTGCGACGGACCTCTCGCAGGACCCAAGAAAAGTCTGTAAACTAAAAACTAAAAAATGTACTTATGCACAGATTTTCATTTTGAAAAAGTGAAAAATATTTATTATGGTATTAGTTTTGTAATGTTATTAGTACTAACTTATGGTTTTATCTACCTACGTTAACAAAGTTACTTTCTCTCGACAAACAATAGATGTACACATAACAGTGAAAGAGTGAAATTTTAATTTTATTTAATTTTACCTTAAAATTAAGGTAAAGTCAACCTAGAAATAACAATAATTCTTGAGTTATCAGTAATTATTACCAGAAAGAACAGGAAATACAAAGAAAGATGAAGAGCTGGGCGAAGTTGGAAAAAGGAAAAACAAACTAATAAAAGTAGAATATCAGACAGTAATTAACGGGAAATGATTTAAGTGGGATGACCTAAAAGAAAAGCCAGTAAATTTTTGAAAAAGAGAAGCGGTAGACGGAGCAGAAATAAACGAAGCTCTCAAAGCAAAGAAATAGGGAAAAAGAATATGAATATATCGAAAAATCAAAACAGGAAAGAGGAAGTTCGGGTGGTGTTTTGGAATATTGAGGGATTAATAAGAAGCAGATTTTTGAGAATACATAGAATAGGATGTAGTGGGGATACTAAAAACATGGGTGGAGGCTAAAGATTGGAAAAAAATCGAAAAAAAATGCCGAAGGGATTCGTATGGAAATGCAAGGGATTAGTAAATGACAAAAAAGGGCAGAGCAAGACGAGGGATTATAACAGGGGTAAAACGGAACTGAAAGCGGTAGAGAAAAGTGAAAATGAGATGACAGAAGAGGATCTCATAGAGAAAAAAATTAAAGTCAATGAGGAAAAATGCAGAATTATAACGGCATATGTAGAGGAATGGAACAGATGAGAAAAAAAGACAAACAGAACAAAATGTGAAAATTGCGAGATTGATCAATATCAGTAACCTTATTACAACACGCCCAGGTGGGAAATTAAAATTGCAAAAATCAAACTACCGCCATAAAGTTCAAGTCTTTCGCACTAAAATGTATAAAAAAACAGATTCAATGAATTGCTAGAATCATTTCTTCAGTACAACCTTGGACTTGGTTATTAACTCGGTGAAGGTAACGCTCATAAATCTTCTAAGTAGTATTATCAAAATTTAATTTTTAATGTATTATTGCCTCCAGAAAACAATTAATTATACCGGTATTTAATAAATCTTTAAATATCACGGTAGAGAACTAGAAACATTATTTTTCATCATCCAACGAATTTTATTTAACATATTATACATGATATTATTCGTAACGAAGCAGTGTTGTGTGAAATTCATGATTTTGATTAGAAAATAAAAGTACATACTTAACATAATAAATGACTGGTCTTGGTTTTTACTGTTTACAGAAAGAAAAATAGAATACAGACAATATTTCGTTTAGATAGAGTAACAGGATAAAGTGGCACTAATTAATTTTTATATTTGACCAAGTTGTTACATATAGTGAAAAAAAAAATCTGTTACTTCAAACTTTAAAAATAGTTTAAATAAATACCGTCGACATATTCACTGCTTCGTGTTTGTTCGAATAATTTCTTACAATGTTTAAAATTTAACGTAGCATACAAGATGTATTTCATGCTTTTTTTTATTTTTCATATATTTTTCTTTTCTCATAGGTTATAGATTAGATAGTTATCGAATTCCCGGAATTGATTTATAACACCGGACATCAAAGTAGAGTGTCTATATGAACAATAACAACAATAATACAATCGAACGGCGAGATTTTCCTCTGAGAAGCGATTTCTTTTAAATCTCAAAATGTCTTTAAATGTAAAAAAAGGAGCGTTCTACCTGCATCTCGTTCCCAATGGCATAATTACGAGTACAATATGGCTGCAAGGTACTATATTTAGCACTAGTACTAGGGTTCAT